TGGAGGTGGTGTGTGGCTGGCCTGCTCCTAGTGTGGCCTGAGTAAAAGCATGATATTACAGCATTGAGATTTGTGTGACTGCCAGCTGTGGGTCTTGCTGAGGTACAAGCTGTCGTGGATTAACCCCGGCTGGCAACTAAGCACCACACATCTGCTCACTCACTTGGCCCCCCAGCAGGATGGGGGGAAGAGAATTGGAAGGGTAAAAGTGAGAAAACTCATGGGCTGAGATAAGAACAGTTTAATAATTGAAATAAAATAATAATAATAATAATTGTTAATAATAATAAATTGTAATGAAAAGGAAAATAACAAAGAGAGATAAATAAAACCCAAGACAAGTGATGCAAATGAAAACCATTCCTCACCACCAACCAACCCATGCCCAGCTCAGTCCCCAAGCAGTGACCCCCTGGCCAACATCGCCCCCTAGTTTTATTGCTGAGCATGATGTCATATGGTGTGGGATATCCCTTTGGTCAGTTGGGGTCAGCTGTCCTGGCTGTGTCCCCTCCCAACTTCTTGTGCACCCCCAGCCTGATTGCTGACAGGGTGGAGAGAGGCAGAAAAGGCCTTGACTCTGTGTCAGCACTGCTCAGCAGTAACGAAAACATCCCTGTGTTATCGACACTGTTTTCAGCACAAATCCAAAATATAGCCCCACACTGTGAAGAAAATTAACTCTACCCCAGCCAAAACCAGCACACAAGCTCATTTGGTTTCATTCTGCTTGCTCTGCCATGTCTGCGTTCTGTGGCATACATTGCTGGGGAGTGACCCGACCAGGAAATGGGAGACAAATCTGCCTCATTCTCCTTTGTGTTTGGCAACTCTCTTTTGTGCCAGAAAAATTATGGTAATACTTATTCCATGGCTCAGTTATGTGACTTTTTTTCTATAGCTCTATGCAGGTTGTAGGAATAGTACAGGGTAAGACTGAGATTGTTATTTTATTTCAAACAATGAATGCCTTTGATAGCAGAAGCTGTTGGAAAAATTGTAGCAGATTGTAAATGAAGCTGTGAAAGGCAGAAATTAACAAAGGATCTTATCACACTGTTTGAAGGAAGAGCTGCTTTTAGCTTCTTCTGGAAGGATCTTCTCATCTGGGACCAGGAGATCTTTATCCTCTGCTGGATGCAACAAGGCACTGAAGTGCTCTCAGCGGTTGTTTGTGCTTGCAACATAGCCCAAAGGTCTGTTTCTGAGTGAGGAAAGCTGTTGACAGCAATAAGGGAAGGTTGCATGAGACTTTTGGATGAAAACCCAAAGATTGGCCTGCTTTTAGGGCTTCTGAGAAACAGTCATATTCATGAGAGAAAATCCCATGGCTTGGACACTGGGAGTTCACTATTTTTGGAAATAGCACCATCCTCTGCAGGTTGACGTGGTGGGGACTATCACCAACATTTTCTGCATCTCACATCCTCTTCGTAACAGGGATAAGAAGAGTGCCCTACCTCATGGAGGTGTTTTTCATATCACAGGCTTTGAGGTACTTGGGTATCATGGAAAGGGGGACAGGATTTTTTTCTGCAAGATATAGATGAGTGTTGCCCGAGCCCATTTCTGCCAAAGGGAGGCCATTACTCAGATTTTGCAAATGTGTAAATACAAGAAAGAAGAACAGAGAAGAATAGGCTCCCTCTTGCCACCGAGAGGTTTACTGGTCGCTTTAAAGGCAGAAATGGTGGGACCCATTTGGGTTCTCCTTCGAGACTGTTGAGGAAGCATGCTGTAGAACCAGAACTGGAAAATGGATCTTCTGACCCTCTGTGCTTTAACCCTCGATCACCTTTTTTTCACCTTGCTGTTGATTAAAGATACAACTGAGAAGGAGTACCAACTAGACTTTGTGTAAGAAGAACCATTCCCCTGAAGGAAATTCAAACAACTGAAAGCTCTCGCTAAAGAGAGTTGCCTAGCATGGAACATAACGTGTGAGCTTAGGAGGCCCTCACTCAGTTAGCCTCCTTGTGTAACCTCCGTTGCTTTGTATTGAAAGGCAAAACGTCTACCTAGAGTGAGGGTAAGAGCCAAAATGAACAAATTAGCCTGCAGGAGAACACTTTGTAGGAGCATTGGCTTGTTTTCTTCACAAGTGTGATACGAAGAGCTCCGAAACATGAAACCCACACTCTGCATGATGGCCCCACTTCTTCCCTTGTCTACATATATTTCTGGTGCTAGAGTATCCCTTGCTAGGTGTCTTAACCTCCTTCATGAGCTTGGATCCAGCCTGACTTTTGGCAAGTCTTGCTTTATTACTACAGTTCCTGACGCCAGAGACACAGCTTTCCAGCAAAGCTGTCCTTTTTTCCATTCCTTATGTGTTTTGTCTTTTAAAGGATTTTAAAGGGCAATTATGTGGGTTTTTTTAGCTGGCCTTCCTGATCTTTTCCTCCCTGCTTTCCCACTGGGTAAGATGTAGATTCTGAACACTTTAGTGTGAAGATACCAGGTCCCATATTGAGTCTTGAGCAAATAGTTCATATTTTCTTCCTTAATCAGTTCTCATAATTCATACAAGTTTGCTAGTTCCAAAATAGTGTGTTACAGAGATATTTTTGTTAATTCCTCTATTTACTTTAGACTAGATCACCTTATGATCCCTATATAGTGGCCAGCAGGAGCAGGGAAGTGATCGTGCCCCTGTACTCGGCACTGGTGCGGCCGCACCTCGAATACTGTGTTCAGTTTTGGGCCCCTCACTACAAGAAGGATGTCGAGGTGCTGGAACGTGTCCAGAGAAGGGCAATGAGGCTGGTGAGGGGTCTGGAGAACAAGTCTTATGAGGAGCGGCTGAGGGAGCTGGGACTGTTTAGCCTGGAGAAAAGGAGGCTGAGGGGAGACCTCATCGCTCTCTACAACTACCTGAAAGGAGGCTGTAGCGAGGTGGGGGTCGGTCTTTTCTCCCAAGTAACTGGCGAAAGGACGAGAGGAAATGGCCTCAAGTTGCGCCAGGGGAGGTTTAGATTGGACGTGAGGAAAAATTTCTTTACTGAAAGAGTGGTTAAACATTGGAACAGGCTGCCCAGGGAAGTGGTTGAGTCCCCATCCCTGGAAGTATTTAAAAAACGGGTAGATGAGGCACTTAGGGACATGGTTTAGTGGGCATGGTGGTGTTCGTTTGACAGTTGGACTCGATGATCTTGGAGGTCTCTTCCAACCTTAATGATTCTATGATTCTATATCCAAGGTTATTTCCCATGCCCAGCTTCTAAAATGATGTTCTTGGAATTTATCGAAACCAAGCCTTAAAATCAAATTACTGTTCGTAATTCAATGTCTGCCTGATTGGAGAATTTGACAGCTCTTACATCTGGAAATCCAAAATACTACTGGCACAGCTCCCGTGGAGGCAACCAAGATGATTAGGGGGCTGGAACACATGCCATATTTGTTCAGGCTGGAGAAGAGAAGGCAAAAGGGAGCTTTTATTGCAGCCTGCAACTATCTAACGGGAGGATATAGAATCCACAGCTCCACGTTCTTCTCAAAGGTGCATGGTGATAGGAGAAGAGGCAAAGTATATGAGTTGGAATATGAGAGGTTCTGAAAAGATGTTAGGAAAAACTTGCACCATGAGGGTGGTCAAGCTCTGGAACAGGAGCCTTGAGGTTGTGGGATCTCCATCGCTGGAGATATTCAGAACTCAGTGGGACATGGCCCCGAGTAACTCAATGTAATTTTACCTGCTGTGAGTGGGGAAGTGGGACTGGATGACCTCCAGAGATCACTCCTAACCTAAATTATTTTATGGCTGTGATTTTGTACTATTAGTAGCACATTCTATAGAATCTATCTGGGAAGTGATGCTGTTCCATAAGGACACAACTCCGTACAAATTCTTGTGAAGATACTCCAGTTGTTACGCATCTATTTCATAACCCTTACGGTTTTTTTTCCTGGAAATTGCTTGGGCCCAAATACAGGGACAGTGCTGGCAAATGAAAGAACCTTCCTGGAGTATGTCCTGTTCACTGTGAGTATGCAGCTCAGTCTTTTCTGTGAGTGAACAGAACATGCCCTGCTTCCCCAAGAGAGCTCACCCTGCTTGGCCTGCAGAGAGTGACCGTACAGAGTGTGTGTAGGAAAGCTGGTGTAAGCCTGAAGATCAGGCATGGCAGTTCTTCTTGCTGCCCAAAGGAGCAGCAGCCAGAAACTGCACTGTCTGGAAGGAAGCTTTTCCTGCCAGTGCTTCCTCAAGCATTTGCTTAACTGACTCTATTAGCCTTTTTAATTTTACAGCTTCTTTATTTAACTGTAATCCACCAGTTGAAAACCCAGTACCATATGATCTTGGAGGCACAGCTTTAATTTTCACAGGCTTTTTTCTAGATTTTTCCTTCTTTCCAATCTTGCAGATGATGTGTTTGAACACAAAGACAAAGTGCAAAAGGAGGTCAAGGCAGTGCTGAAGGAGAGCACCACGCTGAGCTGCGAGGTGGCCCAGGAGAAGACCGATGTAAAATGGTACAAGGAGGGGAAACTGATCACCTCGAGCAAGAAGTTCAAGGTGGAGTCGGAGGGCAAATCGCGTCGTCTGGTGGTGGGCCAGGTGGAGAAGAAAGATGCTGGGGAGTACACCTGCGAGGCTGCTGGCCAGAAACTGACCTTCAAGATTGATGTCACAGGTGAGTGAGTTTGCTGCATCTCTGTTTTACATCCTGAAAAAATTGAAGGAGAGAAAAATTACGTGGCTTGGCAAATTCCATTTCAGCAGGCAGTGATGGAGCCAGTATTTAAATTCCGCTGGTTTACTCATGCGGTTGTGTTCAAACTATTAGATCTGTCTCCCTTCTTTGAAAACTAAGAATGCAGCAGATTTCCATAGCCCAAGCCCAGGGCAGGCTGAATATCACCGGGGAATTTTCCTGGGAATCTGGTGGAGATGCACTGAAGCAAAATGAGAATTCAATAATTGCAGGAGAAATTAAAGGACACAGAAAATCTTCTGAGCACAAGAATTCTCTTGTGAATGCTCCTTCCTTAAATAAAGTGTCTCTTTATTATGGAGGAAACATTTTTATTATGGCCTCTGCCAACTAAAAGGAAATACTAGAACTGGTCTCAGAAGCAGTAGCTGAGGAAACCAGGTCTCTTCACGATGACATTAGCAAGAACAGGATTTAACCTTGACATCCCTCAGTTGGATCTCGATGAATTTAAAGCAAATTGAGGAGTTCATATATTAGATTGCTTTTTGATTCTGGCATGGTGCAGCGCTAGGTCAATACCATGGGGGCTGGCCAATTTTCATTCGTTAGAATCAGAGAATCATTAAGGTTAGAAAAGACCTCTAAGATCATCGAGTCCGACCATCAACCCAACACCACCAAGCCCACTAAACCATGTCCCTAAGCGCCTCATCTACACGTCTTTTAAATATTTCCAGGGATGGGGACTCAACCACTTCCCTGGGCAGCCCCTTCCAATGTTTAACCACTCTTTCAGTAAAGACATTTTTCCTCACGTCCAATCTAAACCTCCCCTGGCACAACTTGAGGCCATTTCCTCTTGTCCTTTCGCCAGTTACTTGGGAGAAAAGACCGACCCCCACCTCGCTACAGCCTCCTTTCAGGTAGTTGTAGAGAGCGATGAGGTCTCCCCTCAGCCTCCTTTTCTCCAGGCTAAACAACCCCAGCTCCCTCAGCCGCTCCTCAGAAGACTTGTTCTCCAGACCCCTCACCAGCCTCGTTGCCCTTCTCTGGACACGTTCCAACATCTCAACATCCTTCTTGTAGTGAGGGGCCCAAAACTGAACACAGTGTTCGAGGTGCGGCCTCACCAGTGCCGAGTACAGGGGCACGATCACTTCCCTGCTCCTGCTGGCCACACTATTTCTGATACAGGCCAGGATGCCATTGGCCTTCTTGGCCGCCTGGGCACACTGCCGGCTCATGTTCAGCCGGCTGTCGACCAGCACCCCCAGGTCCTTTTCCGCCAGGCAGCTTTCCAGCCACTCTTCCCCAAGCCTGTAGCGCTGCATGGGGTTGTGGCCGAAGTGCAGGACCCGGCACTTGGCCTTGTTGAATCTCATACAGTTATATGTTATATATATATATATACACACACACACACACTAGTTAGCATACTAGAGAAACATTGTTCTGGGATGATGCATCTTTGGAACATTTGGGAAATAAAGACATAGACGTAGAATAGGCTCACAAAGTTTGTTTCCCAAGACTAGCTTTGCTTTTGCTGGCAAAGCAAATTGCAGCTCTTTGATTGTTTGGACAATTTAATTCTTGTCCTCTTACAGCAAACAGACTTCTTCCAGACTGCATCCACTATGTGCTGCTGGACACTGGGATATGTGAAATTCTGTTCTGCAGATTTTGCAGAATGATAGCGGTGGAAATGAAAGCAACATTGGGGCCATCTAAGCTGTCTTGGACTACCACTAAAGGAGTCCTTCAGCGGCACTTGATGCGATTCGAATGTTAACATTCAGTTGAGAGTGTTGGCAGGGAATGTGAATATGAACTCCATCTTCAGCACCATAATCCAAAGACTGATGTGTAAATCTGGGAAGGGGTGTGTGTGTGAAAGATTAATTTTCTAAATCTGTCCCTGTACTCTTAATTCCAGAGGCAGAAGATGCTTTCATCAACAAGGAGAAGGTGCAGAAAGAGGTGAAAGCTGCACTATCAGAAAACGCCACGCTGAGCTGCGAGGTGGCCCAGGAGAAGACCGATGTGAAATGGTACAAGGAGGGGAAACTGATCACCTCGAGCAAGAAGTTCAAGGTGGAGTCAGAGGGCAAATCGCGTCGTCTGGTGGTGGGCCAGGTGGAGAAGAAAGATGCTGGGGAGTACACCTGCGAGGCTGCTGGCCAGAAACTGACCTTCAAGCTTGACGTCACAGGTGAGGGATTATCTGGTTACATATTTTTTTTTGCTGTAGCTGTAAGGAAAGTTTCCTAGTGGCATAGACTTACTTCCAGCCTTCAAGCTTGACATCACAGGTGAGAGAAGATTCTTTGGCCCAGCCTTCCTATTTCGGGAATATTTAGAAAAATGAATATTATTATGTATCTTCCATGTAAAACAGTATAGAATCTGTAAGACAGGGAGCTCCATCCCTGAAAAAACTTTGGGAGCCACCCACCTCTGTAGAAACAGACCGTGAAGAGGAAAGTACTGATTGCACCTCTCCATCCCAAGAAGTTGGTGCAACCAGAACAACTTTGTGACGCAGCTGATTGTCAGTGCATTTCAGAGCAGAGTCGTGGTGGAGAGTGGTAGGGTGTCTGCGCAACGTCTGCACTCGGAACCCAAAACAAAACACAGAAACTCACCAGAAAGCAGTCTGCATGTTCTACCAATAGCTTTAGATGTGTGTTGTCAAGTCAGAGGCTTGGTTTCCAGTGTTACCTGTAAGCCGTGATAAGGGGATCGCGCAACATCGTATCTTGGAGGCACTCTGAAATTCTCTCTCTTTTCAGAGCCAGAAGTTGTGTTTACAAACAAGGAGAAGGTGCAGAAAGAGGTGAAAGCTGCACTATCAGAAAACGCCACGCTGAGCTGCGAGGTGGCCCAGGAGAAGACCGAGCTTATTTGTGCATTGCATTGAGGAACAAAAAGCCAGATTTCCCGTGGATCCATGGGGATGGGAGGAAGCTTAACTCCTGGGGCATTGGTTCATTTTGCTCAGAAATGGCTGATGTGTTGTCGTCAGGGTGCACAGAGGGCCATGCCTTGCCTGAGTGTTCCTTAGCTGTGAGTGGGACCATTCCAAAATGACAGAGCTTTGGGAAGGTCTTGTAAGCAGGATTTTGCATGTGGTTGTGAACATTGTGGACAGCATGAACATACGTTCTCTCTCTTTTCAGAGCCAGAAGTTGTGTTTACAAACAAGGAGAAGGTGCAGAAAGAGGTGAAAGCTGCACTATCAGAAAACGCCACGCTGAGCTGCGAGGTGGCCCAGGAGAAGACCGATGTGAACTGGTACAAGGAGGGGAAACTGATCACCTCGAGCAAGAAGTTCAAGGTGGAGTCGGAGGGCAAATCGCGTCGTCTGGTGGTGGGCCAGGTGGAGAAGAAAGATGCTGGGGAGTACACCTGCGAGGCTGCTGGCCAGAAACTGACCTTCAAGATTGATGTCACAGGTGAGAGAAGATTCTTTGGCCCAGCCTTCCTTTTTCTAGATTATTTAAAAAAATGAGTATTATTTCATAAATTTTTTCCTGTTATGCTTCAAATTTTTGGAGAACATCATTGAGATGGTCTGGCTCTGATTGAGGAGTGGGACAGAGTTACAAATACAGTTCTCTTTACATCTTCTATGTAAAACTCTATAAAATCCTTAACACAGGGAGCTCCCATCCTTGAAAAACTTTGGAGCTACCCATCATTGTAGGAATAGGGCTGTGAAAAAGAAAGTACTGATTGCACATCTCCATCCCCACACGTTGGTACAACAAGAACAATTCTGCAACACATCTGGTTCTCAGTGCGTTTCAGAGAAGGGTCATGGTGGAGAGCAGTTGTGTGTCTGCTTGATGTCTGCACTCTTTCTCTTGGAAGAGCTCATTTCAGCCTGGGGGTTGAATACGACAGTAAGGTTGCTATATGTTAAGGTCTCTAAGGCATCAGGTAAGTGGCAACTAGGGAAAGTGGGGACTCATTTCAGATGCATCACCCTACTGGGGCTGTAGAGTAGGAGAATGGATTCAACTTTCCAACTCACTCCCTGCCTCCTGATGCTCTTGCAAGTGGGCTGACTAATGTGTCAGCTGGAGAACAAGGGGATTTCACCATTTGGATGTAAGAATGTGAGGTGGGCTGGGCTTTTCTCAAGGTTGCATGGGAAGTAATAACACAGTTCTGAACATGTAAGTCCTGGTCTTAGCATCCTTTGCACTGAAGAAAGTTACCTAGTGCCAATAGGACAGTAACGACAGCAGACACAGCTATTGGGATCAAAAGGAATCAACGATATGGGGCTGTGACACAGTAAGGGACAGTTCCTCCCAGTAAGAATTCATTACTTTTCACTCAACTTCAACCAAAATGTATCTTGCCTTGACTGGGGCCTGCCATACAATGCTCTTATAAATGATCCAGATGATCTCCTAGCTTGCTGCCATAAATATACTAATCTTAGTGTGATTTGCGACAAAGAAACAAAACCCTTCTTTAAAACAAAACAACAAACCAACCCAAAACAAAACACAAAAACTCACCACAAAGCAGTCTGCATGTTCTACCAATAGCTTTAGACGTGTGTTGTCAAGTCAGAGGCTTGGTTTCCAGTGTTACCTGTAAGCCGTGATAAGGGGATCGCGCAACATCGTATCTTGGAGGCACTCTGAAATTCTCTCTCTTTTCAGAGCCAGAAGTTGTGTTTACAAACAAGGAGAAGGTGCAGAAAGAGGTGAAAGCTGCACTATCAGAAAACGCCACGCTGAGCTGCGAGGTGGCCCAGGAGAAGACCGATGTGAAATGGTACAAGGAGGGGAAACTGATCACCTCGAGCAAGAAGTTCAAGGTGGAGTCGGAGGGCAAATCGCGTCGTCTGGTGGTGGGCCAGGTGGAGAAGAAAGATGCTGGGGAGTACACCTGCGAGGCTGCTGGCCAGAAACTGACCTTCAAGCTTGACGTCACGGGTGAGAGATATCTTGTCTGAATTACAGTAGAGGATAATAAAGTAATACCTGTAATAACTATTACACAATGACTCAGTTGCAATAGTCTGGGCTTTGTTGCACCCTGTAGCGTTTACCTGATTTTCTGTACCTGATTGCCTGGACTTGTAGAAATGGGAATATTTGGCTCTAGCATGGTACAAAGACCTATCTCATTCTTTGTCTATATAATAATTGCAGATATAAATATAATAGACATAATTATCAACATGTTATTCAGATCTTTCCCATTTCTGGGATCCCAAAGGTTGATTCTTGTGCACTGAACCTCTTGAAAGGAAAGAGCCATTCAAAAATCTATTTCTTGTTAGACTCATGATCCTATTTCTGAAAACTGAGAAGCTGGAATATGCTTTGCCATTTGCAATTTCGGCAGCAGCACTCATCAAAATGGGTTGAAAACTCAGCACTTTTTCTGAATTTGTGCTGTTGTGTGTTTGAGATCTCAGCCTTCTGAGATGCCTTACTACTTCTATCAGGTGCTAAAGGTACATTTGTCGTGAAAGATTCCCAGCAGTTGGTCTTTTGGAACAGGACTCACAAGGTGCCCTAACAGCTTTAAGCATGGGATGCTAAAGGGAGTGTTGACATGGGTACCCGATCTTGGGTGCCTTGCCAGCCTTGATCCTGGCCTACCTGAGCACTATAGGGAGATCATATTTCCTTTGTCCCTTTGAAAGTCATGCTTGTGACAGTGGAAGACACCATGAAGAGTCTGTTCCAGAAGCCCATAGTGCTATATTTGTGACCTTGACATTTCACTGTAGGTCTTAACTAAAAGGAATTGGTCAGATTTTGGTGATGTGCAGGACAAGATGTTCTTTGGGAGCATTTGCATTAAATGTTTTTTTCATGGTGGCTTGCAACCATAGGGTTGATGTCAAGGACCCTCTTGGTCCTCTCCATTCCTAGGCTCTTGCATCCCTAGTTTCCACATTGTGATTCGGTCACACAGAAGGTTGGGTATTGCCCAGTGAAGACAATCAGTTTTGGCAAGTGACAACCTAAATATTTTCCAAATGTCTGCACAGAATTCTGTAAGACTGATCTCATTTTAATCCCTCAATCAATATTTTCTTCTTTTTCTGCATTCAGAGCCAAAGCCTGCATTTATAAACCAGGAAAACGTCCAGAAGGAGGTGAACGCTGTCCTGACAGAAAGTGCCACCCTCAGCTGTGAGGTAGCACAGGACGCAACCGAAGTGAAATGGTACAAGGATGGAAGACTGCTCATTTCCTCTAGAAAATTCAAAATAGAAACTGTGGGCAAAACCCGACGCCTGGTTATAGAGCAGCTGGAGAAGAAAGATGCTGGGGAGTACATCTGCGAGGCTGCAGGCCAGAAACTGACCTTCAAGTTGGAAGCATCTGGTGAGGACTCACCTAAGCAGCTCTCTGTGTGGCTTAGAGGAAAACAGTATATTCCCTACCCAGTGGCCACGGTGCAGCCACCAGTTTCTCTGGAGCAGCATCGGTCAACCACATCACACATTAATTTGACATTTTTAATCTAGCAGTGTGGAGGTGGGAAATCTGGCTGAAGACTTTTTTTTTGGCTTTGGAAATGCTATATAGTTTTTTTGCTTAGTGTCTCCTTCGCACACCCCGTCGCCCAACCTTTTTAAGTGGTGGGGAGCTGAAAGTAGAAGTTGGAAAGTTTTGAAGAGAAGAAATAGAGCTATGGAGAAAGGTGACTAAGAAAAGGTGGTCTGCTGCTGTGTGTGCCCCAAAACTGCCCACTTTTGTGGCAAGGCATTGTACAAGATAGAGAAGAAGCCAAGAGAAAGGGAATAGAGCAGGCAGAAAAGAAAATAGGCCATAAATTCAGGTTTAGCATACTAGTATTTCTTCTTAATTAGATCTAAAATCCTAAAAATGGGAGAGGAAATAATTATATAGGTCATTTTACTTCTAAGAAACAAGCTTTTTGTGGGCAGCAGATAAAATGTATATTTGCATTTCCTTTCCTTTGTTTCTCTTCTAAGAAGCAGCTCTGGGTTGCCTGACAGATCATTTTCTTTCTTCCCACCCAGCAGAAGATTACACCAGCCACAAATATTCAGCCATATTCCCTGGGTTATTACAGATTATGGATGAGCTGGTGTTGTGAGTCATGAAGAGAGAGTAATAGAAAATTGCTGGGTTAAGGATTTGAGATTTAAGTTATTAGCTTTCCTATTTTAATGTCTTTCCTAGAACCAGAGGCTAAATTTGAAAAGAAACTTGTCCAGAATGAGCCTCTCATTGTTCAAGAACATGAAAGCATCACACTGACTACTTCAGTAACGCTTGAAACTGCTGCAGTAAAGTGGTTCAAGGATGGAACAGAAATCAAGGCGAGCAAGAAATATGAGATCAAGAGTGAGGGGGCGTCCAGGACCCTGACGGTGAACCTGGCTGAGAGCAAAGACACTGCTGTGTACACTTGCCAAACAAAGAGTGACAAGCAGGAATTCAAAGTACAGGTGAAAGGTGAGCAGAGAGCAGCGCACAGGTCGTGTCCCACCCCAATAGCTATGCTTCCCTCATGGTAGGATGGAGGTGAAGTCCAAACTCTCTCTAAAACCATTCCAACCTCAAGGCTTGAATTGCTGTTGCAGCTGCTGTGGCTGCCCCACCACAGGCCAGCAAAGTTCTCCTGCTTCCAAATACCCAATTTTTGTCCTTTGCTGGCCACTCAGGGGAACAAGGAGGCCTACGATGGGTGCTTTTCCTGGTGTCTGCTCCCCACTGTCATCATGCTGTTTCTGTCTCCTAACCCCAGTAGCTGGGGCATGGCAGAGCCTTAGCTCTTCCCCACTCTGCTCATCAGCATGATGAAGCTGATGAGGATATAGAGGGATGTTGTGTGAGGAGAAGATTTGTGAGTTAGTCACATGGGGAAACAGGACCTGAATTGTATCCTCCTCTGTTCCTGGATGGTGTACCTGGGATGCTGTTGGCTAGTCAAGGCTAAGGCTATAAATTGACAAGAAGGATGAAATACAGCTGGTCCACAGATGGAGATGAGAGGGGTGATGTCCCAGAGCAAAGGCCTACTCCTTTCTCTTCAGACACTCGCACTGGAGATGTCTGCAGCTGAGATGCACCTCCTCAGCTCCCTTTGGAGTCATTGCAGAGGAGTGGTTGCTAATAGGTCACGATACATCTGCCCTATTGAAATGTCTCCTTCAGGATGAAAGAAATCACACCCTGGATTTCTCTGACTCCATTGGCTGTGTCTCCAGTGATGGCAGAGACAAAGGTGGCTAGAGCTTGTGCATGCATATGGATTTTTACATTTAGTCAGGCAAATCAGGCTCTGATGTAAAAACACCACATGGTCTCATTGGGTACGAAATTAGAAAGGAAGGAAGGCAAAACCCAATCCTGTTTAAAAGCACTGTTCTTGCTTTACAGAATGATAATGATATTAAAACTCCACGTCAAAGGAATCTCCCTAAATTTCCACCTTTCTGGTTTGTTTCTGTCTACCCTGATTCCCAAATCTGTTGGGTGTTGGGTTTTTTTTTTCTTTTAAAGTTGGCCAGAAACGGTTTCTTAGAACAGGTTTCTTATCTTTTCCTTTCTCATCATTTTTTCCTTCTTCTGCATCTCAGAAATCCCAGTGAAGTTTGCCAAAAAACTTGAAGCTGTTAATGCTGAGATTGGAGGTAGTGTCTCTTTGACCTGTGATGTGAGCCATGCTAAAGGGAAGGTGGTGTGGCTCAGGAACGGAGTTCAGATCAAGCCCAGCAAGCGTTTCCAGATTCGTGAGGAAGGGGTCAAGCGAACACTGACAATAACAGGGATCCGGGCTGAGGATGAGGGAGAGTACTCCTGCGAGTCCAGAGATGACAAAAGCAGCGTTACCATCACCCCCAAAGGTATGTCTCTAGAACTGCGTGGTGACAATGTGGAGAGATCCTTGGGTTTTGTCCTCAGCCATTACAACTCTGCAAAGCTGTGTTTGTTCATGTGTTTGTGCTGTCTCCTGTGTTGACAGCAAAATACAAAACTCCACTTCCTCCCTCAGCGTCAGTGGAACCTCTACTTGTGAAGAACATAATGATTTTGAGACCTGTTGAGCTCAGGTCTCTTAATATGTGGGCAAATTGACCTTCATATTGCATTTGAGGCTGGAATTAAGTATCCCAAATCTAAGATGGGATTTTTTTCCCCCTCTTTGCCCCTCTCTTCTGGCATCTTTATGCGCAAAACTTAGACATGGGAAATGTGATGACCCATTATTGTGATCACTTACTGTAAGTAATAAAACCTGCTGCTTCCAATAAAATCATCGAAGCTTTTGGCTCTTTGAAGGTGTTTATGCCATGTCTCAAAGATATGCTCCTAAATGTTTTATTCCTATCCATCAGCTCCCAGAGTGGTGAAGTTCGTTACGAGTCTCAACAGTGTGGTCTCTGAGGAAGGAAAAGAGGCTGTGTTCAAGTGCACCGTCTCTCCCAGTGACGCCGTGGTCACTTGGCTCAGGAATGGTGTCAAGATTGAAGCCAGCAAGAAGTATGTGATCTCCCAGAAGGACACCAACCACAGCCTCACCATCACTGATCTGACGCTGGAAGATGCAGCTGAAATCTCTGCCAATGCTGAGGGAGTAGAAAGCACAGCCAATCTCAGAGTCCGAGGTAGGAGGCGACAATGTCTCTTTGACAGGCTGTCACTGATGCTATGACTTATGCTGTTTTATGAGGCCTTCCCTCTGACCGATTATGTTAGCAGTAGGGAAATTCTGCTTTCACATCAGTAAATACAGATGCCCAGAATGCATTGGGACTGGAGATACATGAGCCACTGTTTTAATTTGCTCTGAAAGACTGTTTTCTGGATCTTCTACATTCTTACTAATATTTCTTCTCCTTTTGGCAGAGGCCTCAATCTCATTCAAGAAGAAACTGGAGCCCAGAACAGTTGAAGAGAGGGACACAGTGACCTTGGAGGTAGAGCTGACCAAGCCTGCAGAGGTGAAGTGGATGAGGAACAGCATCGTATTGAAGCCCAGTGAAAAAATAGAGATCAAAGCTGAGGGAACAAAGCATACCTTGGTCGTTAAGGACATCTCCTTTGCAGACAGGGGCTTCTACTGCTGTGAGAGTCCTGATGACAAGACCCAAGCCAAGATCAATGTGGAAAGTAAGTTCAATGATCTCCAGTTCTATAAATACCCTGGACAGGGTTTGGAGGTGGATTCTGGTCTCTTGCGTTATCATAATGCCCACTGCCACTCTCACTTGCCATGGGGATGCAGGGACGCAACCATGGGCTTGGCCACCAGTCAAGTGACTGATAGGAGGTGGAAGCAAGGGCAGTAAACGGAGAACAGCTGGCTGATTCTTGTTGCCTCCATCTCATCCCACCAGCTTTCAGTCATGCTGTTGACTGTTAAGCTCCTTAGCTGATTCTTCTCATTCCTCTGAAATTTCTTACTCTCTGGTACACTCTGTTTTTTCCTTTGTATGGCTTTTAGCAAACCATTCCCTCTTCAGCCATCCATTGCCCTAATTCTTCTCTGCAAACCACCTCTTTCAGAATGTCTCTTTATATTCAGTCAGGATTAAAAATACTACAAAAGCAAATCTTCTCTCTGAGGGTGCTGTCCTTTCAAGTAAGCTAATGGTGTCTCAGCTGTAGCCCTGTACTTCTGTCCTTTTTCCTACATTCTTTTGTCATGATTGTTACAGGATAGATGAAGACAGGATTTAAGCACTTAAGGACTATCTAATTTTGTCTGCAAAGCCCCTGCCACCAGTTGGTGCTGTGTAGGTCATAAATAATAGTAAGGGAGGACTTGATAACAGACTTGAAGTACATAAAAGGCTGTTATTAAGTGGAAGGGAACAATCTGTTCTCCATGTGGAAATAACGACAGGAAATAATGGACTTCAATTGCAATGAGAAAGATCCAGGTTATACAATAAAAAAAGCTTTTTAATGGTTGGATGACTGAATAGGTTGTCTGGAGAGGTTTTGGAGCCTCCATCATGGGTCTGAGAAAAGGTTAGTGAAATATCTGTCTGGGATGATGTAAAGAACTGAGTGTGTCCTAGAGCGGGAGAGAAGGGCTAGATGACTTTTCTAGGTCTTTCCAGCCTTATAATATTGTGGTCTTCTGATGGTATCAAAGATATAAAAAATTGATGACGGACTGTCTCATACAGAGCAGGGTTTGTCAAATCACTTTCATGCACTGCTAAGACAGCTTCATCTTCAAAATCTTCCTGGCTGACAGTTGTCAAACTCCACTGCTTTAGCATCCTGATATGGGGCAGTTAGCTATCACTTCTGTTGGCAGTTGCTCATCTTTTTTCCAAACTGAATAGCTCTAGAAAAAAAAAAAAACAACAAACCCAGACATTGCCAGTGACTAGCAGCTGGTAGATTAGGCTTGGATTCGTGCAGCCTAAATCTAGCACATCACTTTCAGTTCCTTCTGTAGTCAACAGAGAGGAAAAAAAGACCTCCAGAGCGTGTTTTAAGTCTTAGATGCACTGAATTACCTTCTGGAGTGTCTTTCTGACTATTCAAGGAACCATGGGTGACTATGATCCTGATTTAGAACTATATTCAGGTTGACTGTCTCAGTTAAATGGATTCTACAGAAGATAAAGAAATACAGCACGTCCATGGTCACAGCGTGTTGGAAGAATGCAGTGCAGATGCTGCTCCATCCTTTTTCCCACATTGCATCCCAAGATGGTTTTTTTCAGTCTCTGGGTGATACTCAGTTTCCTTCCAGCAAGATGTTTCAGCAGTTGGTTGTAGATTCAGTTATACCTGGTTTTAGGCACTGGCTGTTGCTGTGGCCAAGTAGTAAAAACAAAAATGATGGAACAGTGTTTATATAGGAAGTAATTGGGTAGTCCTGATAGCTGCCAACAGTGTTTTGTGCAAGGTGAGTCATGCAAGCACAAATGTATATCTGTCTCTGGTTTATAAACCTCCTATTCTGATGGAGAGAGAGGATTTTGGGTTGTGCTTCCCAGGCACCCAGCTGCATTCTCATCACTTAGTTTAGTGTCACTGTAAAAAGTAGCTCCTCTGTTGATGAACTGAGATAGTTTCATGCAGTGGTGGAAACTCGAGGTGATCTGAGAGTGACCGTGGTCAAAAAGGGGAATCAGCTCACTGTAGCAGGAAATTCTTTTCACATATGATCATCCAAGCCTTAGTTATGAGATGCAGCAGGAAAGGGGCCATATACAAGAATCTCACTAGACTATATGTATTCTGCATCCAAGTCCTCCAGCTGAGACAGCACCAAGGTCTCGCGCTGCTTTACGGCAAAAGCAAGACTCTAAAAGTAGAAGTCTAAAATTATGCTCCATTTTTTGGCATTTAAGCAAATGGCCTCTTTTCAGTAGAATGTGTTAGAGCTTACACTGAGGTCAGCAGAAGTTCTTTAAATGCTCACAGTCTGGGGAATTGAGCTACTACTATTTGGTGCCCAGCTTTAGGTTAAGAAGCCTGATTTTAGAGGACCTTTATTTAAAAACCACAAAGCTGGACTGATACTGTTTGGTTTGAGATTGCTTTCAGAGCAAGGTAAATAAGGAATAGCTATATGAAAATATGTTGATTTACTCTAGTATAAAAGTTGCTTCATGAAAAGATAAGCACCTGTTCTGATCTTAAGATGCCAGGAGATCCTAAAAACAACTGAGCTACTCAAACCAATAACATATCTGGCTGAATATCTGTTTTCGGTTGTGACCAGGAGGAGATGTTTGTGGAAGACATTAATAAGTAAGTCATAGGTGAAGTGATCCTTCCTCTGATACACCTCTAAGCTTTCAGCAGGGAAAAGCGTAATTAGGTCAATTAATTATAGCAGAAATTATACTGGGAACATGAGTATGAAATGTCAAATCTCTTGACACAAAATATTGTCTATTAAAATAAATCCTGTAAAAGTTTTCCTTTCCCAAACTCTTGCTGCTTTATGACAAGACCTTTGAAAAAGTGATTTTGTTTTTCTGTCCTACATACAACACCAGGTGAGGATATATCCAGGAGGCCACTTACAGAGTCAGAAATTGCTATGCTATTTAGTTAATGTTTTTGCAAGTCCCTTTCACTATCTCCTTGGAATAACTTCAGTTTGCTCCTTGGTCCAGTCACTGTCTGAGGGGCTGGAGTATCTATTGACCTAGGGGAAAGGTTAGATAGTAGCAGGTACACTGTGTTCAGTTTAGAGAATGAGGTACCCCTGGGGGGATAGGGACCAGCTGCAAAATCAGATCAGAAATTGGGGACTGATGCAACTTCCAGTGAGCAAAGCCAGGAGAGCTGGTGTCTTAGTTTGGGAATCAAAGCACAAGCTCCTGGAAGGTCTGTACTTCCCTCATTTGTCTGGTTCAAGACACATCCTTGGGGCAAATTTGCGTTTAAGTGGTCATGACCTTGGAGAAGACCATGAGAGAGGAATCAGTGTGGCTTCCTTGAAAGAGGGGTTAGACGGGATCCTACATAGGATGCATATGCTCCTCTGTAAACCTGATGTGAGGTGTAACAGCCACAGAGGGGACAGGAAAGGCATAAGGAGCTGGCATTACATGGAGTCCACCATCGCCCTCCTGGGGAGAACAGTACTGTGCTTCTACCCAGTTTGTTAATAAAGTCGTAGTCTACTCACATCATCTCCGTGGGACCTTTGGAAAAATAGTTTCTTCCCTGTTGTCCCCCATGTGGCATAGGGGTAGGTGCCATCAAGAGATGTTTGAGCCTCAGAGAGGCTATGATGTCCTCAGCCCAGGAGCTGGGTCCAGACCACGAGCACAGAACAGAGCCCACAGCCCACTCCTGGTCATATTTGCATTCAGGTCCTGGCTGAATGTGGATTATCTCTGCTAAACATGAACTAGGAAGGTCGAAATATTCCCAGGGGGCCCATAGGGAGTTGAAGGGTTTTGTGAATAATTCATGGCTTTGTAGAGGGTTTTTTTTGTCGGTTGTTTTTTTTTTTTTTTAATTGGAAACTTCATTTCTTTTAAGGGTGAGTCAAGTTTAAACATGAAATTCATTTTACTGGCTGATAGGGCACTGATGTCACTGATGTCTTGTACTGGGAACAGGTAATATCCACCCAAAATATGGATGCTTTGTCCCCCAAGCCATGAGGTGTCAGTGCACTTCACACTGTGTTGTGGATTTTTTTTTTTCCTTAAAGCTTTTTCATCTCCCTGCTACTTCCTTCCCTCCCTTGTTTTACCCTAGTTGAAAAGCTGAACAATATTGTTTATTCCTTTATGCTCTATTAATCTCTGTTGATCATCTGCTTTCTCTTGGATCATGCCTGAAGAATAAGTATTTTCAGCAACATTTCTCTCGCTGCACAGCACAGGGAGCCTGGTCCCAGTGTAAATACCAACAGCGTTATCTTCTGCTAGAGTGTTTCTTCCTGATGGTTATCGGTGACCACCTCCCCCAGCACAGGAATGCCTCTACTCCTCTCTGTGTGTGTACAACTTCAAAGCTTATTTCTGGCATAGACAGTGAATGTGGTGGATCTTGCTAGAAAAAGGGCCAGTTTGCCCTTTTTCTGCAATGTTTGGCTGACTTGTTTGTCTCAGCTGAAAGCATCCATTTTAAGAATAGCAGCCATGCCAGCAGTATGGTCATGAACAGGTTTTATTTCCTGCAAAGGTGGTTGTTTAATTGGCAGATACCAATTAATTGGCAGGTACCTGCGTGAGGAATAGGGAAATAATCTATTTTGGAAGTCCTCAGGCTGTTTCACAGCTGTCGGTGTGAGATCTCCAACTTGTCCTTGTTGTTTTTTCAGTGAGGCAGATCAAGCTGGTGAAAGGTCTTCAGCCCCTTGAAGTCTCTGAGAAAGGGACCGTCACCTTCGAGGTGGAGGTGTCGCATGAGGATGTGGAAGGGACCTGGCAGAAGGATGGCGTTCGGCTGAAACCTTCACCAAATATCAGTATTGGCGTCCTGGGGAAGAAACATTCACTGACTCTTTCTTCGGTGACTCTTGAAGATGCAGGACTCATCTCCTTCAAAGCAGATGGCATTCATTCATCAGGGAGGCTCACTGTGACAGGTACACAGACCTGAAAGTCTCAGGCCCTGGTTGGTGTGGGACATGGTTGTCTTCTCCTGACCCAGCAAGCGAGCTTTTAAGAGAGCAACAAGCTTTCTTTGTAACTGCAAGGGATGTTAAGCACTGGATCATCATCAGTAACATATCCTTCTAATGTCAACAGGATTATTGTAACATCATTGTCCACAGAACAACTCATGATAATGTGCTCAAGACAATAGGATTTTGTTGTCACATGGAAGCTAGGCTCTGCCTATTCATGGTGTTGGGTTCACAGTTAGACTCAATGATCTTAGAGGTCTTTTTAATAATCATAGAGATTCTATGATTCTATGATTATTGCTTGTGCCAGACAGTCCTGGAGACCTAATTTCCCACTAACTGGACTTTCTCTTTTTTTGCAGAATTGCCTGTGAGAATCAGCAAACCTTTGGCAGATGTCAGTGTAACTCAGAAGGACAAGGTCACATTCGAGTGTGAGCTGTCCAGGCCCAACGTGGATGTTAAGTGGTTCAAGGTACAGCATTTAACGGATAGTGGTATTTTAATTTCTGACTTCTCTGGAAGGGAATGTGAGCCTTTAGTTTCACTTCCAGGGGATGTGAGTCTGAGCCTTTACTATACAGCTCTTAGCATTGCGCTCTCGTCCTTATGTTCATTTACTTGCCCAGTTCATCATTTTCTTATTTATTTACTGGGTGTGTTTATTGGGTTGAAAGTTAAACTTTCCTGTTCTTGCACAGAATGTGAGTACTGCTGTTGATAGCAATGCACTCTTGTGCTTTACTTCGTGCCTAGCAGTTCTCACCCAGGATTTATAGACTCATTGGGAACTGTGATTTAAGGTGAAGCCTCAGTTCCCTTTGCACCTGACAGTCATTTTGGGGATCAGCTCAGGCATTTCATGTACCTTCCTTGGGGCTCAGCTGATACTTCCCTTAAATGGGTATAACAGCACTTCTTCAAGGTAATGTCTGAAGGAGCTTACTGCCAACCCTGTACAATGCCTTAAGCATTCAAATAGGTGTCTAAGGTCAACCAAAAGTTATGCATGTTCTTCAGCCGTTCCTGCTTCTTGAAAACTTTGCACTGTGCTCACGTTTCAACATATGTTCCGGTAAGCACAGTTCCATTAAGTCCAATGAGACAGGTGAATTAAGCACAGATCTGAATGTTTGTTTTGCTCACTGCAGACATAGAAGAGTTGATGTGATCTGGTTTGGCCTTTTCCCTTCTAGGATGGGAAGGAGCTCCAGCAAAGTAAAAAGGTGGGGATTATTTCCCAGGGAAATAAGAGAAGCCTCATTATTCACAAATGTGAATATGAAGACCAGGGAACGTATACATGTGAAGCAGCTGCAGACAAGACATCAGCTACCCTAAAGGTTCATGGTATGTTTGACTGAAGTAGGAAATTACACCCACTGCAGTATTTTTTGCCTACACAGCAAGAAATGCTTCGTGGACAGTTTGTGTATTTTGCAATTACTCATTTTGGATAACTTTTTCTTCCTAGTGAGAAAGTGCTGGCAGAGCTGTCCTGTGCTTGCTCTATCCTTAGAGTATTTTTGGAAGAGGTGCTAACTTAGTTTTCCATTTATCATAAGTGATTTCTGTTCTCTGGAATTTGAATGGTGTTTCTAAATTGGCAAGTTAGCAAATACCGGGCAGCCTGGCACAAAGAAGGGATTCAATGGCTGGTGTGCACATGGTTTGGTTTAGCTTCTGCCATTGTCACAGGGGGACTTTGGCTGAATAGAGACTGGACAATCCCTGGATATGATCTCAAGATGTGCCCTACTTTTTATGTTGTAAATGCTAAGGAAAGTGTCAGGATTTCTGTCTGCATCTCTCCTTTATGTTCAAGACAGTTTTTCCTTCTGTGTGTTGCACTGTGCAATCGGTCAAGCGCCAGATGTGTTTTGTCACCAGGCTCTGAGGCACCAGAGATAAGCTAGTGCTGAAGGCCAGTTACTGAACGGACAGGCCTGCTGTGCCCTGGCAGATGTTATTTTCCAGAGGGGCATCTGAAAAGACAGATCAACTCTTTCTTATTGCTTACTAGATGCTGTCCTCATGTGGCCACTTGGGTTCAGCAATATCTTCGTGAACATCTGTCCTGTTCCATTGCTCTGTTGAACTCCCCCTTTTCCCCCTGACTTTGTGACTGGGATGGGTTGCTATTTGAATGCTGGCTGGTTTGCATCCGAGTTCTGGTCCTGAGGCTGATCCGAGGTGTATTGAGGCCTTCCCTTTCAAAAGGAAAGGGCTGCAGTAGCACAGACATATGGGTCAGTTCTGACATAAACTAGTGCAAAGCTGCAGAGTTAAAGAGGATTATACTGAGTTCAGGGGACTCTGAAGTAAACGTATCTCCTAGGTAAAACATGTGGCTGAGGTCCCTGTGGCTGATACGGTCCAGAGACACAAGCAGGGGAGCAAAAGGAGAGCATGCAGAGAAGCATGTGAATGGGACAGGTTTATAGTGACACAAGAGATGGTAGGCTTGTGTTCAGTTTTCCTTGGCAGATTTTCTTTCATTAATGTGTTTAACTTTTAAAACCTGTATAAAGTTCCGGCATCCATAAAATCCTCTTGCAGTGAGCTCCACTGTGGCTGGTGATTCTACCTGTAGGTTCAAGTGTAAAATGTATTTACTGTGTTGAAAAGCAAAACCATCCAGGAAGGGAGGCTGGTCTAGAATAAAACACAATCCATTTTTTCCATGCAAGTATGCAGAAGGTAAACACACCACACTCGGTTATGGAGAAACCCCAAATAAATATTTGTCTCTATGATTTCACAGCCCGAGATATCAATATTGTTAAACCACTGGAAGATGTGGAAGTGAATGAATACGAGAGTGCGTCTTTCGTCTGTGAGATTTCACATGATGAGGTCCAAACCCAATGGTACAAAAACGACAACAAGCTGAAGGCTGCCGACAATATTAGAATGCGTCAAGATGGTAGGATGAAAAAGGGGGATCTCATTCTTGAATGAGGGTGGGTTGGAGTAGGTGTTGGTATGGGAGACTAGGCAGAAGGGTCTGACCTTCAAAATGAACTTAAGAAGGTTTAGCAGAGAGTTCCCGTTTTGTTTTGGGGCTGCTGCTAGGCTGGGGCAGTGACATGAAGGGAACTTTTAGTAAGGCGAATTTGGCGTCATCCCACCATCCTATGCTGCCAACAGCGGGTAGGAATTTGTATCATCTGAGAGCGGGTGGGATCCTTCTGATTCAAGTACTTTCCAGATGGTGGGGACCACGTTCAGTCAGTCTTTGGAGGAGCTGAGGTTAGGTTATCCTTCGATACAGAGACATAGACATAGGGGAATGGTCGGCCTTGCTGCCGTGAGAGCAGGCGGTGATGCACTGAAACCAGATTGAGCAATGTTGGCAGTGTGCCTTGGAGAGTGAAGCTGTTTGCTCAGGGGAAGCTATGTCTGGTTGTGTGTCCGTTCTCAGGAAAAACGTATTCGCTGACTTACCTGCGCGTCCAAGTTGAAGATGCAGCAGAGATCAAATTTGTAGCAGAAAAGGCAGAATCTCGTGCCCAGCTTACTGTAAAAGGTAATTATGCTTTTCATGCCAATACTGCTTAAGCTCTCTCATGTTACAAACCAACCAACTTCCCTCACTTTTAATGTGAAGTAGGTTAAACAACACCTAAAGCTTTCAGGGAAAGAAAAACTCCTGCCTACCTTACTGTGTGTGAAATATCAGTCTGGGAATTAACTTTTGCTAAAGAACCCAGTTTATTTTCTCAGGATGTTGGTTTTGCACCTTAAGACATCAAAAGTTGTGTTTGAACTTTGAGGGACAAAAAGCTGTAGCTTGACTTTCTCCTGCATTTTCTTTCTGGTGTATGTTTAAAAAGAATACAGCATTTTTTTGTGTTTAACTTAAACAGTGTGACAGAGACAGAGAGAAGGAAAAAATTTGAATTAACGCACTGATGAGGAGTTCATGAAATTCGAGATCAGTCCCTGGCTTTGCCATAGCACTGCTGTGTAGTGTTGAGTTAATTACCTACTATCGCTGCAGCTCAGCCATCCAAGTGGTAAAATAGGGATAAAAAGTTTTCCTCTCATTAGCTCTTCACTTGCTGTGTGCTAGTTGAATGCTTAGCATAGTGGGGATTCCTGTCATCATCCAAATAATGGAACATAAAAGAAGTATTGCTAATGAGTTTTTAATTGGCACTTTCCACAGAAACTGTACTGATTATTCCATCCTTTTTTTACTCCTTTTAGAGCTGCCTGTAAAAATTGTGAAGCCTTTGCGAGATAAGATTGCTCTTGAAAAGCATCGGGGATTCCTGGAGTGCCAGGTGTCTCGTGCCAGTGCCAAAGTTAAATGGTATAAAAAGGACGTTGAAATTCACCCTAGTGACAAATACGAAATTGTGAGCGAAGGTGTTTATCGGAAACTCATCATCAACGATGCAGATTATGAAGATGAGGACACGTACACTTGTGATGCCTTTGATGACAAAAGCAGCGCTAATTTCTTTGTTGAAGGTAGTAAACCATTTTTTCCCCCTCTACGATGCATTGGAAGGAGGACTGGCTGATTCAGAAAGCCCTGGTCATTTACTTTGAAAACAAAATACCACTTAAAAAGTATTTTAATCCAGTGTTGATTTATTCTGAAGTCCATTGATATTGAATCCTTTTAGGATGATAAGTGCAGGAACATCCTGTAAAATAAATATATGGTATATTCTCCTAAGGAAAGTGATGAAATTCCTGTTCCAGAGAAGTTTATCAGATATGCTGGAGACAGTTTGTTGTTTGGAGAAAAGTTGCTGTAGCTAACCAAAGCCTTTCCCATTATCAACATGTGCATTTCGGTGAACCTTCTTTTCCATTTTTTAGTGCCAAGTATTTGATATCAGGATAGGAAGGTGGCTTTAGAAATAGGACTGGGAATCAGGAGATCTGGATTCTCTTCAGGCTGTGTCAGTCTCACTGTCTGACCTGTGACCAGCAATATATGTTTATTTTTATAGGAAAAAAAAAAAAGGATGTTTTAAGGCCTTTTGAGCCAGTAAGTGCAGTATTCAAATGCAGAAAAGATGGCATGAGTGTGCAGGATGCTAATGAAAGAGTTCTTTCGTGACTCCTAAATCCCTGTTTTCTCATTTCATCCTTCATCCAGAGCAATCCATTAATATTGTAAAGGAGTTGTGTGATGAGGATGTGACTGAGCCTGAAGAAGCCAAGTTTGAATGCGAGATATCCATTCCATCCGTGAAACCCCCCAAATGGTCTCTACGTGGAGAAGTCTTACAGGCTGGCAGAAACATTATCATGCAGCAAGAAGGCACGATCCACCGTCTGACAATACTGAAAACCAGTGCTGATATGACAGGCACCATTCAGTTCTCCATTGGCAAATCAAAATCCACAGCAAACCTGCTTGTCAGAGGTAATGTGGTTATGTCTTGAATTAGATCATGAGATCCTCCCTCTCACAGTCCCTAGAAAGTAATTTTTCATACGTACTGTCTAATGTGCAGGCTCCGCTGGCTGGGGTCTTGGAAATTTATGGAAGATCTGCTTAGTTCCCAATTACAAGTTGTTGGGTGCAATGTTGGATGCATGAAATGAGACAGCAATGTCTTAGGAAGGGATGTGATTAAATGAGTTTGGTGTGCCTGGTATTCAAACCTGGTATTCAAATCTACTGAGCTAAGACTGTTTTTTTGTTTGGTTGGTTTTTTTTTTTCTTCTTGACTTTACCAAAGAGGACAAAACAGATGAAATTTGCCAGGAGAGTTTATTTTGTCCCATTTCTGAACTAGTCAAGTTTGATAGCTCATTTACTTAATCCACTTTGTCATTGACTTGATCTGGGTCAAAGCTTCAAGGCTTTTTATCTTCTGCTGTCATCATTGTAAATATCTCCAATCGTAGCCTGAAGTCCTTGTTTTGTCTTTAATTTGCTCTTACTTGAATAAAAACCTTAATTAGAGAGCAATTCAGTAAGCACTGGACCATGCATTTGGTAGTTAATGTACAGTATTATCTTACAGAAACCAGCATTCCCTATAGATCATCATGCCGTTTTAGCTTCAAAGCACATCAGCTCTGTAACAGAAACTTGTAGCACCATCTGAGCAGTTCATGTATGTCATTCACAACTGTTTTGTGAAATTAATTGGCATGAAATACAGATTAGAAACTTTCCTCTTCTTCAGATTGATCCTTTCTTCTTTGCCAACCCTGCTTTGCAGATTACCACATACAGATCACCAGGAAGATGGAGGACAAGACAGCTCTGGAGCGCCATTCAGTCATCCTGTCCTGCGACTTCAGGCCTTCTCCAAAGGTTGTGAAGTGGTTCAAGGGCCACACACCCATCGAGCCCTCTGAGAAGTACAAAATCAAGAGGGAGCAGCATTCGGCAGAGCTCAAGATTTTGAAGGTGAAGCCCGAAGATGCTGGCGTGTACAAGTGTAGGGCTGGAAATGCCGAGACCGAAGCCACGCTGACCGTTGAAGGTATGAGCGGTTTGCAGCAGGGATGCTTGCCTGTTGCATAGATATGAGGAAGAAATTGTTTACACTGAGAGTGGTGAAGCACTGGCCCAGGTTGCCCAGAGAGGTGGTGGATGCCCCATCCCTGGAAACATTCCAGGTCAGGTTGGACGGGGCTCTGAGCAACCTCATCTAGTGGAAGATGTCCCTGCCCATTGCAGGGGGTGGGGTGGATTGGATGACCTTTAAAGGTCCCTTCCAATCCAAACTATTCTATGATTCTATGATATCTTTATGGTTCAGTATTTCACTCTGGACCTCTCTTCTTGAGTAGAGGTAGATTCCCACAGTTCTCTCCTGCTAATTTTATATAAATGCAATATCTTAAGTGAACTGACAGTATTACGCAATGTGCTGATATTCCATGATACTGAAATCCAGCACTTACCGTGAAGTAGGTAATGCATGTGGAAGGGCACCATCTGGGTAAGGCAGAAATTCATGCATCTTTTTCAAGGCACATTATTTTCCCTTTCATCTGAGGAACTAGAACTCTTTGGTACTTCTTGCTAAAAATGCCCTTTACGTTAACCTGCTACGGGCCTCTGATTCGGGTGATCTTGGTTGTGGTTTTCATTTCCTGATCACTGTGTCAGCTTTTATATCTGCTATACATTTATTATTCATAATGACGTTCTACCCCATCCTGGTATGGCACTGTTTTTAGACAGTTCTTCACCTCTGGTGAAACCGTAAAAGATGATCGCTGTGTCACTTTCAGCAACATTTGGAGGTGAGCCATGGCATCATTTCCAGAAGTCCAGGAAGCAGCTCTCGGTAACAGCTTGGGCTTGAAGAGGTTCATCCAAACAACAAAATTATTTAATACTCCCCAAACCTTCTTCCGAGTTAGCTAGTCCTTGAGAAACAGCATTTCATGGGTGGAGAAGCTGCAAAGAGAAACCTCTGGCCAAGGACTGGGAAAGAAAATTAAATTCCTGTTGCTCCCTAAACCTGAGCAAGTTGCTTAATCTCTTCGTACTTGCTGTTTGTGACCAAACCCATTGTCTTCATCTCCTCATCCTCTGAGTTTCCTTGGCAGGGAGTCAGGGGTAATTTAGTTATAATGTGTTTGTGTGTGTGCAGTGATGAACACACCGAGATTGGAGCTCTGTGGGGTATTTAGGCATCACTATAATGTCATTAACATTTTACAAAGACTTACTTTTCAATTAAAAAGAAAAAAAAAGCAGAACAGTTTTATGTGTTAAAAGAGAACTGAGGGCTCTGGACAATATGCTCTTTTTAATGGTTGTTCTTTGTTGGACCAAATGCAGAACCAAGTAAATGAAATGTAATGACCTATGGTGTACAGGACACCAGACTAAATAATCCAATAAACTCTAAAGACTATGAAATCTATTTGTGGTAACAGTACTGATTTATGGTGACAGTGGTGATGGTGCACCTTGGTTTCCTACAGCCCGCAATGTAGAAGTACTCAAACACCTGCAGGATGTGGAAATTGAAGAAGAGAGTTCTGCTGTCTTCTCCTGTGAGCTGTCTCACGACGACGAGGATGTGGAATGGTTCCTCAACGGCACCCTCCTTTACACCAACAATTTCAATGACATCAGGAACATTGGCAATTGCTACACGCTGACGATGAAGCAGGTCAAGCCTGAGGATGCTGGCACAGTGACAATGAAGTCAGACAAGGTGTCAGAGACCGTGCGTCTGAAGGTGATAGGTGGGTTGTGATCACACTCCTCCTGAATGTAAAAAAGAGATGCAAAAGAGCTCTTATCTACCATGCCCATGCAGGAATCCTGCTTGTAAGCTTCACGTCTTTGGGACTGAGTAATAGGCATGCAGGGGTTTTCTTCCAGTGTAAGTTTCTACTGTAGCTGCTGATTTTTTGTAAGGAAGATTGTTTTGATGTCCTGCCAAAACTTTCCATAGCTTTTTATCCTAGTAAGTAAAAGCATGATAGTCTCAAGAGCAATTTCCTTTACTTGTAGGTCTCTTCAGTAATATGTAGTCTATAAACTGTTGTTTCTAAAGATTTTTGTCTGCAAGGAGGTGAGCTTCAGTGTACTTCCAAGGGTGGGGCACACCTTTAGTACGTCAGTTCTGGAGTTGGACTGAATCAGCAAAGAGAAGGCAGCTTGCTGCTGTCCTTCATATGTCTGAAATGTGTGATCAAACTTTGAGTTGCTGTGGTTTAACATGTTCTTGTGCATCAGCTAAGCCACAGTAAGTTGCGTGAATTATTTTAGGCATGTCAGAAACATGAGGTAAAACTCTCACTGAAATTTCAAAATCATATTTTCTTTAGCAACACACCTGTACATGCATGCTCAGGTAAATCATAGTGATTTGTTATCCTAAATTAACTCCTTCTTGTATCTGGAAATATGAATGGGAAATGTTCTGAGCCATTCTCTGAAAATCAGAGTCTGACGTCCTCCACACCGTTTTAGAGAATAACGTCTCTGATTTCCTTTGCATTTTGCCTCCTGATCATGACTAATTTGTTCTTCCCAGAGTATCTGAATAATTTAACTCTTTTACTCTATCCACTCAGAGAGTCTGAAGGATTTCCTCTTCCTTCTTTCTTTTATATCTGGTCAAAAATTTCCCCCATATAAATATCCTCTCTGTCAAATATATTTTTAACTAGATAAAGGGAATCAATAAAACAAAGAAGCAAAAGCAAAGATGTTCAGGAGAGTGAAGAGAATATGCAGAATATCCTTTTATTGCTGGTCCTACTGTATGAATCCTGCTTCATGAAAAGGCAGTGCCAGCTCTCTGGCTTTAGAAGACCTACATCCCAATTACTTCTCTTCACACGTTTTTCTTCTAACCCCCTGATCCCTTTCCACGTGTAGACTGCTGCAATGAGACATGAATGTTCCCAGAGAACATTTTCTGCTCCTCCACGATGCAGAAAGATGCTTCCTTGAACCTAGTCTATCTTGTTGAGTAACTATTCCATAGAAGTGTGAAGCTGTCCCTCTGGCCTTCACTGAGGCCCTAGATGCCTGCTCCAAGCCCCGTTCCCTCTGATGGGATGTCCTGTGCCTGACAGATGCCCCAACACAGAGAAAAAAGGAGTCCTTGCAATCTCACAGGTGTGCAGTTATAAGAGAGACCACGATTACAGCACTGAATATCACTCCCCATCCATGGCAATGCAGGCTGCCTCTCTCCTTCCATGCATCCTCCCATTAATCAATTCTGATTTCCCTAAAACTCATTCCAGTCATGAGCTGTGAGACTGCATTGGTATCATCAGCATTGCCAAGGGTTTACTTAAGCTCTCTTTAAATATTTAGTAGCAATTGAAAACGTCTCAAATATCCTGGCTGTTCTCTGTTTTGCCCGTTAACCTTCAGAGAAGCCTGCTGTCTTCATGAAGTCCTTGGACGATGTTTTCGGTGAGGAGCGAGGTGTGATTAAACTGGAATGTGAAGTCTCCAAAGAGAAGGTCAAACCTGTTTGGAAAAAGGATGGTGTGAAGCTCGCTTCTGGTAACAAGTATGAGCAAATACAGTCTGGGAAGACCCTGTGCCTCCTTATCCATGACCTTGAAAAGACAGATGCAGGTTTATACACATGTGATATTGGCACTGATGTTGCCAAGTCAAAGGTCAGCGTTCAGGGTAAGTATTGTAGATGATGGGCAGTCAAGGGGTGCTGCAAGTACGGGTGGGCTTGGTCACTTTCTCTCTCACCTATTCCGCCATGAGCCTCATATAACATGGTGATGTCTGAATAATCCCTGTTACTCTTTGATGTATGTCTGGTGTTTCAGTGAAAATCATGTGTGAAGAGTGTAGTGACAATGTTTCCTTCCTGAACATTCCTAAGGTGCAGAAATCCTCCCAGAAGAGCAAATAATTTCTCAAAAAAAAACCCCAAAAACAAAACAAAAAAAACAACAAAAAACCAACCAACCCCCCCCAAAAATCCAAGCAGCTTGTGTTTCAGACTGTTGAGCTATTAATTCAAAGTTCGTTGTGGGAACACAAAAGTAGTACAAAATTGTCTACTGAAGAACCCAGCAATTCAGCTTGTCCTCTAATCCTTGTGGCTGCTTGAAGGAAAGAGAAGTGTTCATGGCTTTCAATTTTATGTTGATAAAGAGACAAATTTTGAATTTGTCTGATTTGAACACCAGGAGGGGTAAGATGGTAACAAATTCACAAATTCAAACATCCCATTTTTCATATCATCATATAGAAAAACCTCACACAACATCCCAGAGGCTTCCTATCTGGCAGGTTTCCTCCCCTCTATCTCATTGAATCTTGACTATTTTCCACTGAGTGAGCTGTTCTCCATGCAGTCCTTCCAGAGCAAAGCCAGGAAATTCACACGTTCCTTTTGTCTATAGCTTTGTGGTGATTCTGAGTGGATAACGTCTGAGAAATCCTTCCCATGTCAAATACATCTGTAAGGAATGCAGTGCTGTCCTGCCAGTCAAGGAGATAAACCAGTCTGATGAGCTAAAAATGTCAATACTACTACTCATGTCAATCATAAAAGCCCTTTCTCCTTGTATTAACCCAGTTTTTGTCTTCCAGAACTGAACATTGGCATCACCAAACGGCTGAAGAACACTGAAATCCAGGAGGGAGAAGATTGCACTTTTGAGTGTATTTTGTCCCATGAAAGCATTGACGACTTCAACTGGACGCTGAACGGGAGCAAAGTGGAAAGTGGTGGGCGATTTAAAGCCTCTAACATGGGTCGGAAATATGTGCTCAATATCAAAAGCGTGATTCCTGATGATGCTGGGGAAGTCATTTTCACTGCCCGTGGTCTAACCTCCAAGGCTTCTCTGATTGTGAAAGGTAATGAGATCAGAAAGGTTCTGGGGTTTGTTTTCTTGGGTGTCGTCTTCTCTACTGACATACCTAGGTATGTCAGTAAACCATGAAGGCAAACTCTTGTTATGATCAAAGTGAATAGCAGCCTTCTCTGGGAGCCTTGAAGCACTGAGATTTTCCTTAAAAACAAGTGAAAGGCTGAAACTTTTTATAGATATTTGAGAATTGCAGAATACACTGGGTAGTGTAATTGTGCAGACAATTACTACCTAGACTATGTGCATCAGAAATAATCACCCAAGGCTCCCCGGTAGTCAGTGGAGAGAAGAAATAGGTAGCTTTCAGACATAGTTCATCATCTGGAGTTAGACCTATTTAGGACAAAATAAATTGTTCCTTGAAGTCTATTGCCTGTACTTAGCAGATCGCTGCTGGCTGTGCAGCAGCCCTGGAGTGAGTGCCTCTGCTACCTACTGCTATAGCGTAGATGTCTGTATCTAGTGAGACAGATCCCGCCATAACTGCATGCCTACAGTAACTTCAGTGATGACAGAATGACATCCCCTGAAATGGATGCCATCAGGACAAGCCCTCAGTTCCTGTAAGCAATCATTAATATTCACTGAGAGCCCATAACTGCAATTAATATGTACTAAAGAGCAAGAGTGCTTTTTCCCTCCCTTCCCTAACATAATATGAATCATTCATTGGGGAATGTGAAAACTTGCTGCATATTTGAATTGCAAAAACCCCAACTGTATAGTGATCGTGACCATGATTTTTATTCAAAATTCCTTTTCCCCCACCCCCCTTCAGAAAAACCTACTGAGGTTACAAAACAGCTGGAGGATAAAACATCAGCAGTGGGGCAGGACATCAGCCTGAGCTGTGAATTGTCGAAACCTGATGTGAGCATCAGGTGGTACAAGGATGGCAAAGCGATCCGAAAAAGCCAGAAATATGACTTGCACCAGGAGGGAACGCGGGCCATTCTGATCATCCATGACTCCACGATCAAGGACAGTGGGGAGTACACCTGTGAGACAGAAGTCTCTAAAACGAAAGCCAGGGTCACAGTGCAAGGTCAGTTGAAGCATGCACAGGGGCTGGCACGTACAGAAGTTGGGGTAAATACCTACAACCTGTGGGAGAGGTTCTTCTCTCCTATCTCCCTAAACAGGATCAATTTTTAGTTTTCAAATAATGTCATGGATTAAAAGCTTTTTAAAAAAAATAAAACTCTGAAAAAACACCTTGTAGTTTTTGAAGAATCTTACGTGCCATGTAATGAGCAATTTTTGAATATGGGTGATCAAAACTATACGCGGTCTGCAAGATGAGACCTCACCAGTACCTGTACAATGGCATTAAACTTTTCTGGAAATATTTTACCTGATATGTCCTGTGACACAAGGTGGACCTGGTGATCTTCTTAGATCCAGTCCATCTGATAGGATGAGAGGCAACGGCCTCAAGTTGTGCCAGGGGAGGTTTAGATTGGATATTAGAAAAATTTCTTCACTGAGAGGGTTGTCAAGCATTGGAACAGGCTGCCCAGGGAAGTGGTGGAGTCACCATCCCTGAAGGTATTTAAAAGACGTGTAGAAGTGGCACTTAGGGACATGGTTTAGTGGGCACAGTGGTGTTGGGTTGACGGTTGGACTCGATGATCTTAGAGGTCTTTTCCAACCTAAATGATTCTATGACTCTATATTCTGTGATTCTACAAGTGGGGGCAGAAGCACTTCAAGACCACTGTGTATGCTCAGGGCTTGTTTGGGTAACAAATCTGTCTGTCTTTTTTTTTTTTTTTTTTTTTCTTCCAGAAAAACCTAATTATTTTGTCAAGGAACTTTCAGATCTGAAAGTTGATGAAAGTGGAACTGCAGTTTTTATGTGCCAGAGTGAGAAAGCTGCATCCTCTGTGGTCTGGAGGAAAGGCATAGCTGAACTCAGGGCTAGCAAGAAATACGAGATCACACAGAAAGGACAAGTCCTGCAGCTGACCATAAATAACTTGGAGAAAAGTGACAGTGACACTTACACCTGCGACATTGGTGACGCCCAGTCCAGAGCCAAGCTAGTCGTGCAAGGTATGTATGAAAGGAATATGATTGTGCACCCTGTTTCTCCACCAGGAAACGTTATATGCATAGGCAAGTCTATTTCTCAGCATACAGGTAGCAGATCTACTGATTTCTGGCTCTGAGTCATGGTGTATGCACACTGCATAGGACACGTGGACAAAAATAGAGCAACATGGAGCTGGACATGCAGAGCAATTTGACAAATTGAAGCAATTACACCTGGAGTACCTTGGGTATAATTTAAAACCCAAAATGCTGATGTGAGGAGAGGCTGGTGTTCCTGTGTGAACATATGAGGGATATGATTCAGAGTGCCTGCTGTTAAATGAGAGAAAAATTGTTCTGCCTCCAGGCTTTTCTCCATATCCCTTGATGCCTCTTTCCAGAAGTGGTTTCGAAGAGGCGATGGGTAAATGAGTTGTCCAGGGATCTTTAAGTGCTTAATGTCCCTCTGTGCCTTAGACCTGAGTTACACTAAAGAGTACAACCTGAGCAGCTTTTGTTTGATGCTACAGGCAGCAAATGAGCGGTGGTGGTCAATGCGAACAGCAGGGCAGTGTTTAAGGGGAAGGAGTGAGGTCTGGTTGTCACTGCTTCTCACAGTTCCCTCACTGGAGCCCCAACCGGGAGCAACTCTTCAGCTGAAATAGATGAAGTGATGAAGAGAATAGGAGGAACAATTCAAGAATAGTCGCATAGTGATGCAGTGGTGGTGTCCACTTATTAATTATTATAGCTAGTTATTAACGACTAAGGGGGTAAAGCCAGACTCCTCTACCTCTGATCATCTGCTGGAGCAGCCTTGAGAGGCAAAGAAGCGTGCTTACTCCCCATCATGGCCTCAGGATCTGAGCTACCTGAATTTGCTGTAAGGTTTCTAACACCAACTTTTCTGAGTGAAAAAACACCTCTCTGTCGCAAAGCTCAAGATAAAAGTAAAAATTCCCTGTACTGGTTTTGTAAATAGGAAAAACATCAGATATATCTTTGTATACAGTGATAACCTTATTTTATTTATTCATTTATAGTTAGGTGTATAGCTATCTATATCTGTACAGGCAGGTGTTCAGGACTGTTTTGTTTCTTTTTACTAAAGCTGCAGTCAGACACTCTCTCTGCTTCCCACTGTGTTTACAGTTGGACTAAGCTCAAAGAAGGTGGGGGCTGTGTGGTCCTATCCCATAGAAAGCAAGTTATAATTGCTCTAGAAAAACAGAGGGGTTGTCATGGGAGGGATCATCTGCTTAGTGATGTCTAGAGCCCAATGATGCTGTCAGAGATGCATCCTTTCAGCCTTTCCAGGTAGTTTCTTCAGGAGAAACTTTATAACACTGGGTTTACATTGTACTGGCTACTTGTTCTGCTATACGTGTTCTGGTGCTTTGAAGTTGTCTTCATCCTATTTTGGTGTGTGTCCTGTATATATTATCTTCCTGTGAATGGTTTTTGTGTTCAAAGCAGGGGAATTGTGTTTCAGTCTTCTGTATCATGAACGTATTTCTTTCTTGAAATACTCACGTGGGAAATCTTGGAGTTTTCCATATCGATTTTCATGCTAGAAACTGAAGATTCCAGTAATTGATGTATCTATGTTCCTTTCAGGCCAGAAAGTGCTAATAACAGAAGACCTGGAAGATGTCACTGTGTTAGAAGGAGAATCTGCCATGTTCAAATGCAGAATATCTCCTGTAGACTGTAGCAAAGTGCAGTGGTTTTTGGATAAAACCCCACTCCATACCAATGAACTTAATGAGATCCAGTCTCAGCCTGGTGGATATCACTTGCTAACGTTGAAAAAACTCTCACTGAAGGACTCGGGGGTCATTACATTTGAAGCTGGTGATAAGAAAACCTCTGCCAGTTTGATTGTTAAAGGTAATTCTATCATAGAAACTGCAGGAGAGGAAAGAATGTGTAGAAATAATTATGGGTTAATGTGGGTAGGTGAAAAAAAAGAACAAAAATGCTACAAATTTGGCCCCATCATATGTATATCTGTATATGTTCAATAATAGCACTACCTATATGATGAAGCTAGGGCTGGGGGATTAACACTGACAACTCTCAGTGTGCTTATTGGACCTTAGATGGGAATGTTATACTGTAGTGATGGTACATTGGATGCCTTGTCCAGGTTTCCTTGAGCCGAGCTGATGGGGTGATGATAACTGAGGAGAAATCAATTAGTTCAGGAAGAAAGGAAAAAAAAAGAAGTGCAACCAATAAGTTTTTAATTTAGTTTTCATTTTTTGAAAAGCAACATTACGTGTGTTCTCTGCTATTCATTGTTGACAATGAATTGTTTTCTCTGGAAAAGTTAAGCTGAGTTAAAACTGCAGTGTTAGTCTACTCCTATAGTGAGGGAATAAAATGAATGCCAGACAGCCCAAGAATGCAGGATTAGAGAGGTGTTTTCTTACTGGAAATGTAAATATTTCTCGTTGCCCAGAGATGTAAAACACAGTCTCCACTGTGTCAGATCATATCCTCATTCTTTTCAGAATCACCACGTTTCTTGCAAAGAACTTTTTTTTTTTCCTTCAAAATTTGAAGATTTGCCCAAATTTTCCATGCTACAGCAATGCAAACAGATTTTTCTGAAGGTAAATGAAAGGTCTTATTTGCAAAAGGCTGATTCTTTTTGGTAACGCTAATATGTGATGTTACAGTACCAAAACCAGGTTTTGGTCTCCTGATTGATTGGATTTTTATGGATTGAAAATCATTAAGCTAGGAGGGATAAGATGTACCTTGGCCAATTTAGCTATTGGTATCTAGCTTAGGTTACTTCTATAAGCTGTGTAGAAAGACAAGCACTTCCAGAGAGCAGTTCATCTTCTCTGTCCTAATGGCCTATTTTGGAAGTGAATATCTGGTCTCTGGAGCTGTCTCTCATCTTCCAGCGGTTATAGAGACACCCTACGTGACCAGTCTGAGCTATCTGCCTGGTTTTTAGATGACTCATAATGATGAGATGAGACCTGCTCTAGACAACTGGCTTTGAGAAACCTCTATTGCACCTCGCTTCATGCAGAATTAACTTTTCCATATTCAGTTAGAAGGTTCAAACTAATCAGCTCACATGTAAAAGGGCTTAGAAAAATCGTGTCTCCATCTTGTTTGTATTTAACAAGATGCGAGAGAGATCTTATTTATGTTCTTCTATAGATGTATTTTCTTCTCAGTTTCTTCCAGATGGCATTAGGTATTTACTAAACATTTTATGGCATGACTGGTGCCTTCCCGAGGACTTTATAGTCATGAACACCAAAATATTTGTTACTAATCTTGACCTGTAATTTTGATACAAGTAATCTTGGATGTAAATCTCAGATTACTTGTGATCTGAAAATCCGCACCTCTTCTGAAACATCTCAGATGGTTTTTATGTGATTCTAGAGAAGCCCTGCATCTTCACAAAGGAGCTGGTTGATACTGAAGTCACTGCAGGAGAGGATGTGATCCTTCACTGTGAAACCTCCAAATCAGACAGCCCTGTAAAGTGGTGCAAAGACGGGAAGAGCCTTAGGAATTCTTCCAAGTATAACATCAGCCGGTCGGGATTTGAAGCCAAGCTTGTCATTCACAGGGCAGAAGAAAGAGACAGTGGCAGATATGAGTGTGAGGCTGGAGCAGCTAAAAGTAGCGCGGTTATTACTGTCAAGGGTAAGAACATTTGAAGTGATGGTTTGGGTCCTAACTCATCATCTAACACTGAGGTCAGAGTAATAAATTGAAACGATAAAAACATGAAACTATACTGAAAAGGAACCTCATGTCTTTGCACCACAGTGCAGGAGAGGTTCTCATCAAGTCATCCGGGACAGCACCCAGAGAGGTGACAGAATGTGAAACAGGAAAATCCTTCATCTTACCTGATTTTAGCTCTGTGAAAGCTACTCTCTGGAGCAGAAAGCAATGGGTCAGTAGAGAACAGTGGGCGTCTCTGTAGGAGATCCACCCAGCCTAAGAGGTAATCCAGAGAAGAGATGAATCACCTTCTGAAGCTGTCTTTATTCGTAAGCTGCCAAATTTATTGAGAGTAGTGCATCCAAAGTTTTTATTCCAAAGACCATGATCAGGCAGGAGGTGCTATCTGAAGGGCTGTTGTCTGAGCTGGAGCAAAAGTTCTGTTCTTAGACACGTGAGACTTTAATATACTTCCTTGAGCACATTGGGTAAGCAGCACGTTAGGTAAGCATTGGGTCTGGGCCGCGTCAGAACCAGGCTCACCTGCTACCCACGTTATAATTGCTCCAGCCTGTCTTGAGTCATTGCTCCAGCCTGAGGTTGAGGAGGAGCTTGGTTCCTGTGAGCATAATTGCTCATTCACATGAGCAGGTTCGAGCAGAGACAAGGAAGCTGTTAATGGCACAGGCTGGGTTCAGCGTGACCAGCGGACATCCTGCATGCAGCTCTTCTCAACGTGCTCTGGAGGGGCTGATCGGAAGCTGTGCCCGGATTAGAGAAGTCAGTGTGAACAAAAAGCATTTGGGTTGTTGGAATAGTCCACCTGAACCTCAGAGCATGAGGAGGGAAGGCAAGATGCTCACAGCGTTTATCGAGAGCACAAAGAAACAAGCCAACTTAAGGCTGAAATCTGCTGTGCAAGGAAAGAGACCACCTTGATGATGTAACTAAGAAGAGAGGTGATGGTTAATGGTCCAGATTTGCTATGTCTTTCATTAGTACTAGGATGCTTTCCCAATACCTGTTACACGAAAAAGAAAGATCTATGTTGACTTTAGTAGGACCTGGATCTCACCCATAATGAAGAGGAATTTTTCTGTTAGGAAAAAAACCAACCCACTCATAACGAATGTTAAACAACAGCTCCATTTTCCCCTTCACAAAGAAGGGTGTGGATGGATGCAGGATTTAAACATATAGATTCAGATCACCAGTAGATGTGAAGGAGTCAAGTCATAAGGATGCCTAGAACAAATTACACTGATGCAGCTTTCCTCTATCTATTAGGGTCACAGCTGAACAGCAGAATGCAAAAATGGGGGGTGGGGGGGGGAATAAATCAGTAGTCATGTGACACTGAGTGTCCCAAACTAGAGGTAAAAGGAGAACAGAAGAATAGGCTGTAGTTTTTCAACAGCCACAGGACAACTGCATCACGGATCAGTAGCTGACTTGCATATCCAAAAGACAGCAGAAGCTAGGAAGAAATTGGTTTGGGTTTTTTTTTCGTGACCTGAAGGGAAAACACTTCAGTTGAGGTTTTTTTTCCCAATAAGTGCCTTCTCTACACTAGCTCACCTTGAATCGCCTTGAATCCCAGGCTGTGATAGAACCTGCATAGGAATCTCCACGAGGACCCTTTCCTATGCAGCTGTGCTTTCTTCTCCGTGTATGCTCTGTGCTGTTTTTAAGTCTATTCATGTCTGATAAAAATATGTTGTGGGTTTTTTTTATAGTGAGAAATCAATACTGCTGGTAATGACAGAAAGTGCTTTGCCATTTCTTTGTGTCCTCTGTGTTATGTGCGAGTTGACCTCAATAAAGTTTTACGGTTTTTGTGCCAGTGGTCCAGCTCTGACCACCCGTCTGCAACACTGCAACACACTGTTTGTGTCATTAATAGCAGGGCAGCATCTGCCACTAATCTTAATAATGACAGCAGTAATAGCCGCAATGTTTTCAATAGTGCAGGTAGTGGTTAAAAGGAAAAAAGCATATGGTCTCAAATATTTTTTTGCTGCTGTAGAGTGCTGGCAGCCAGATGTGAGCCGTAAGAATCTGTTTACTGTTTGCTAGTGTTTTTCCGCTCCTGTGGTTTTTTATCTGAATAGCAAAGTCTGAAGCAAAATGGAAATCACTTTTTCCTATCTCGTGTGTTTCCTTAAACATCTGCGATGTTCTTTTTCAGAAATAGCAGTTCTTTTCAAGCAAGAGCTCCAAAATGAAGAAGCTAAAGAAGGAAAACAAGTCAAGCTGACCTGTGAGCTCAGCAAACCTGATACCCCGGTGAAATGGATGAAAGGAGACACTGTTCTCTATGCCAGCGAGAAGTATGAATTTAAGCAGCGTGGTACTGTGGCGGAGCTCATTATTCGAGATGTCAAATCAATAGACTCTGGGGAATACACCTGCAGCACTGGGGAACTGAAGACCACTGCTCGGGTGAAAGTAAACGGTAGGTAAAGTTAGATATGTTGCCGCGTTTTCTTAATGCATTGCTTAATAAATCTTCTATTAAAAAAAACAAACAACACAGCACTTTGTGGCAGTGCCATCTACAAATTCATATGTAAAATTTAACGGTAATATTGCATACGTGTAAGTACCTGTATATATTTCATTCATGTAATCTCATGTTATGCGTCTGGGATTTCAAATCTGTAACTTCCCGCTGAACAGAAAATAAGTCAGTGCAAAGGGTTCCTTTTCTATACCCTACGTGCCATAGTTCCTGACCTATCTGCTTTTTTACATGGCTGTGATTAAGATTGGAGTTAGAGTTGGAGACCAGGAGCAGGGGAGCGCAAGAACATGAAAACACAATTCGAGTCCAGCCCCTGAATAATGTTTAAACCCCCAAACTCCACAAGGCATCCTTTTTTAAAGGCTCTCAGACGCCACCTGCACTCCCCAACGCCATTAAACAGATACAGTACCTTTAGTAGTATAGCAAAACTAGTATGTGCTGGAGCAGAAAGCAGGAGAGATATAGGGCATGAATACCGTCACAGAGCCCTGCAGCAACGGGGAAGGTGTGGGTGCTCAGAGGACTCTGAAAGGGTCCTTATTAAAGACGAGAGAAACTTCCCCCATACTCCTCGGAATCCCCAGCGAGATGATAACATTTGGGGGAGAGATTTCTTCCTGCTCCCGAGCAGGATCACTTTGATGTCACGTAGCCAAGGGGGGGTCTAGGGTGGCTCTTCTCATTTGGAAAAGGACCAGTTTTAAGGGGTGACAGCCATTATGGGGCACCTGTACAGCAGGTCAATAGGGCACGTCCTAATCCCTGGTTCTGTGTTCTAGCTGTGCCTGTCCTTTTCAAACAAGCCCTGGAGAACACGGAGACGGAAGAGGGGAAATCTGTCTCCTTGCGCTGCGAACTCACAAAAGCTGATGCCACCGTGGTGTGGAAGAAGGGAGAAGCCACACTCCAGGCAAGTGCCAAATATGAAATGAAGCAGAAGGGGACAGTGGCAGAGCTGGTGATTCATAATGCAGAGCCAGAAGATGCGGGAAGATACATCTGTGACACTGGAGACCAGCAGACCACAGCCCAAGTCAAAATCCATGGTAGGAATAAGACACCTGCTTGTGACCATTTGTTGTTGTTCTTGCCATGGTCCTGCTAGCTCCTGCACTTATAGTGAGCATTAAGATAAAGAGTTCAGTACAAACAAAAGGCAGCTCTGGCTGGGTCCATTATGTTCTCTATTTTCTAGGACAATAACTTCATGCTAAAACATAGCAATCAAATATACTTGATAACAAGATATCTTTCCTTGCCTCTGAAATAGCTGTTCTGCTTTCTGCTCTGGATAGAGGCGCTTGTCTGAGCTCTAAGCCAGGAGGTAAGAAAGACCTCAGCTACACATTTTGTTGAAGAATATGCAATTCTTTTCTGCACTTTCTCAGCAAGTTTTTCACACATCTGTGACCAACAGCATTTGGGCAGCAGAAGGGTAATTTGATATTCTAATTATTGGGAAATAATTGTTTTGGTTTTATTTCCTCCCAAACCCATGGTGTGCTATTGTAAACTCAAGTAGAGTCCTGGACGTGCAGGTAGGTCAGAGCTTATTAGCTGTGCCAAGAGAACTTGTTTTGTCTTTAAGTCCCATATGAGGTCACCAGTTGGTAATGATGCTCCTAAAGTAAAATGAGGACGCTTCATTCCTCAGCCATCTCTGTGCTCATCAAAGAAGAGCTGAAGAGCGTGGAAGCTGTGGAAGGTGGGACCGCCACCCTGCGATGCCAGCTGAGCAGAGAGGCCCCCGTGGAGTGGAGGAAGGGGCACACTCTTCTCCGGCCGAGTAACAAGTACAGGATGAGACAGGAGGGCACGGTGGCTGAGCTGCTGATCCACGATCTGGACCCAAAGGATGCCGGAGACTATACATGCGTGGTGGGGAACGAAAAAAGCACAGCAGCCTTGTCAGTGAATGGTAAAAAGTCAGAAATAACCCGTGAATCTCTGGAACGTTTTTGTCCATCTCTTCCCTCCTCCTCTCTGTACATTCCCTCACAACACATACCTTCATGTCCTGCTTCTACTTTTTTCATCCTTCTGCTTTTCCATGTTGCCATGTCACTCCTTTCCCCAGTCTCCATCCATGATCAGCTTTCATTGTGCCCAATGTTGGATGTGTGTGTGTGTTGTGTTGTCATCTTACCTTTCTTCAAGTGAAGGGTGCTGACAGGCACGTATGTTTTCCTGAATTAGTATGGAAACATAAGATTCCTTGGGATTTTCTGTTAAGGATGGTTCATCACCTTTAATGATGAGGATGAGTTTGTCATTTGTATGCATGATCCCAGTCAAGATCACGTATACTTTGATTCCCACAGAGCAATGTACTTGAGAATTTTTTTTGCCATCCGCAAAAAAAGGCGGGACGCACTTAAGGGTAAAGGTGTTGGAATAAGGCTTAGGTAGTCATACGATAAATCACGATTCAGCCTCTGACCAGAGATCTGGGCAGGGTCTTGGGTTGCAATCCCTTTTCATTCTGCATCTCCCAGCCCTGCCAGTCCGTTTCAAAAAAGAGCTGAAGAACGAGGAAGCCACCGAGAGCGGGACGGCCACGCTGCAGTGCGAGCTGAGCCAGGCGGTGGGCTCGGTCGAGTGGAGGAAGGATGGGAAGGTGCTGATGCCAAACGGCAAATACAAAATGAGACGGGAAGGGCGTTTTGTTGAGCTGGTTATCCAAGACCTAGACTTGACGGATGCTGGGAGCTATACCTGCGTGTGTGGAGACCAGAAGACAACAGCTGCCTTGAGAGTGAATGGTAACTGTTCTACCTGTTTTGCTCATTAAGCCCCAAACTTAATGTGTTTGACAGCATTTGCTGGTCGTCCCAAGTTTGGTCAGTGTGACTTCTAACAGGTTTCATGTTCTCGGCTCTGTGGTGCCAGAGTCACCCTATTAGGGAATATTCCCTTGTGCTTTTTTTTTTTTTTTTTTTTTTGCTTTGAGACAGTACAGCTACATTGCATATTGTTTTCTCTAATTTATTTCTCTCTACTCTAGGAGGTTTTACCCCCCCCCCCTTTCAACTGTATCCACCTCGCAGCAGTGCATTTTTGGTTAAATGTATGCACTGCAGCCCAGTAACTCACAGCAGAGTCCAGTTCATCTTGTTCTAGTGCTGATTCCTTCTCTGTTGGTATTGCATCCTTCAGCCTTGCCTATCCTCTTCCAAGAAGAAATGTTGAACAAGGAAGCTACAGAGGGGGAGGAGGTCACTTTGTGCTGTAAACTGAGCAAATCGGCCCCGGTCGAGTGGAGAAAGGGGAATGTGGTCCTCAAGCCAAGTGAAAAATACAAAATAGAGCAGGAAGGTCCCTTTGCGGAGCTGATGATCCGGGATTTGGATTTGGCAGACGCTGGTGATTACAGCTGTGTGTGTGGAGATCAACAGACTACGGCCGCTTTGACAGTAAATGGTAAAAAGAAATTCTCAGCATGTGCCCCAAGTAAACCTGTAAAATTCCAAACTCTCTTCTTCTTTTTCTCCTGTTTCATCTGGTCCCTGTATACTTTCTATCCTCCCCGCTGCTGATTAACTTTTCCATCCTGTTTTCCTTCTCTCTCTCTCCTTTCACCTGACGCCCTCTTGACGTGCTGTTTGTTTTCCCAGGTGCTATGTTCAAATGACAAGTGGGGTGCAGGTCCCCAGCTCAACACGATCTCTCTAGTCCAGTATAGCTGCTTGTTTAAAAGTGTTCCCATAGGGATTGACCTAGAAGCGGGAATAGCATTTGCTTTTTGTAACTTAGGCTGTTACACTTGTTGCTCCTCAGAGAAACAAGTTTTCATCAATGTATGATGCTACACAAGGACTATCTTGATGAAAAATTGCCTTTTTATTCTCCTGCTATTCCCAGCCCTTTTTTAGCAATTTTGGCTTAACTCTTCCAAAGCATATACTTCACCTCTGCAGAAAGCTGGCAGCATGTTTGTAACTGCTCTGTTTTAAGGGGCTCTATTTATAAAAATACAGACAGTGCCATGAATCAGGCACTTCTGTAGAACTGCTCTTTTTCTCAAAGGGAACAAAATGCTTTGGGTTTCATATTGAAATATGGCCTCTTATTTTACCCCTTTGATTTTACTGTGTATAAAGTAAAGGACAGATGGTTTGTCAACTAAGTTTGCAGATAGGCAGACTTGCTTTTAAAGCAAGTTTTAAAGTGTGAGGGCAAAAAAATAAAAATCAGACTGGAATCTCTTTTGAAATGTTAGAAACTGGAACAAAATCCTGGAGTGTGAAGAAGGTCTTATGGCTTCAGTGACATGCAGCTTCAGGGAGATAAGAAGAGTGAGTAGCTCATGGGTCAGGCTTTCTCAGCTTTGATGCTGTGTCCGTATTGCATTTACTCTGCAGTCCTGCCTGCTCTTTTCACCAAAGAACTGACAGATGAAGAAGGCACAGAGGGTAAAAGTGTCTCTCTGCACTGTGAGCTGAACAAGGCTGCTGCTAATGTGGAGTGGAAGAAGGGCTTCAAGACCCTCAAAGCAAGTGACAAGTATAAAATGAAACATGAAGGTGTCGTTGCTGAGCTTATAATCCAAAATCTAGACACGACGGATGCTGGAAATTACTCCTGTGTGTGCGGAGACCGGCAGACTATGGCAGTTTTAACAGTACATGGTAAAACAAACAAAACAAAACACATACTAAAAGTAACTACCCTGTTTTCTCTCTTCATTTGGAGAGGCACCTGCTTACCCTACCACCTCCTTCCTTCTCCCAGACCCTTATTCACAGCTCACTGATGCCAATGAAGTGCTCCCATCGGCATCAGTGCGGCCGGGGTGCGTGGCACAAACCGGGCATCACTGTGCAAGCTCGGAGAAACACATAGGCAACCCGGATTGCCGCTACTGTTTTAATTAGGGTCCATCATTTTGCTTTTCCCCTTGAAAGTTCCTCTATTAAACTCCCCGTTACGCTCAAGCCCAATAAAATGGGTTGCCTCAAAGGGACTATGAATTAGGGATTTTAAGGTTTCATAGAAACCTTATGGAAACTTATTCCCATACTCCATTCCTGGGACAACAAGGTGCTTTTATACGTACGGGCCAGTTGCCATTGCATTCAGTTACTCTCCTATGTAAAGCAAGCCCAAACCTTCTAAGGGATGACCGTTCCCAGGGAGAACTTTGATTTTTACTGCAACTGACATGTTTGAAAGGATACGTCGGTTCAGGTGAAAATGCTTGTTTTCCCACCATGTATTGAAATGAACAATTTCATTTCAAACTGACGTTTAGAATGAAACTCCAGTGTTTCATTTTTTTTAATGGACAATATCTTTTCTTTTGCTTAAGTATTTGAAAACCTACCAAACATCTTCCCATTACGGTTTAAAAAGTCACATGAGAAAACTAATTGTTTTCTTCAGAAATTTCAGATTAGTATTTATTCTTTTTGCTTGAAATTTCCCAGGAAAAAATTGTTTTTTTTTCTTTTGTCTGTATTGATTTGTGACTCCGAGTACAAGTAAAATACCTCTATGGATTACTGCAAGCATTGTATCCTTTCCTGGTGATGACATTTTTTCCTCATACTGATTCATGAACACTATTGACAATCTATGCTCTTGTACTGATAAATCAGTTCAAGATAAGAGGAGAAAAAGAAAATTAAACATCGATAGTTAATTTCAACTCTTCGGGGCGTTGCATCTCACTGCTCACATTGTTGTCCTTCAGCTTTGCCTGCGTTTTTCAAAGAAGGATTGAAGAACAGAGAAGCCACAGATGGTGCAACAGCCACTCTGCACTGCGAGCTGAGCAAGGTCGGTGTCCCAGTGGAGTGGAAGAAAGGGGACAAGACACTCAAACCGAGTGATAAGTATAGGATGAGACAAGAAGATACCGCTGCAAAGCTGTTGATCCGAGATCTGGAGGTAGAAGATACAGGAGAATATACCTGTGTGTGTGGAGATCAGAAGACCTCGGCTGTCTTGACAGTCCATGGTAAAAAAGCCGTTCTCCGTTATGATAGCAGTATCTCAGGGAGATCCCTTTTCTCTCAGAGGTTTCTTTCCCACTTGCTTTGATGTTTTGATTCTGCAGCATTTTCTTGCTTTGCTGGCTGTGTTTCATCCCATCTCCCACTGTCTGGCAGTTTGAAACTGGTGGCTTTATAGCAAAGTAAAGAAGACTTGTGAGAATTTCCCTCTTAGTCTTCACTTTTTAAAAGTGAAAAAGGCACCTGTATGTAAGGCCAAAAGTGAGCAGACCTCTAGCAGCAAGCTTGTTCTCAGAGGGTCTGTCCTTGCGTCTCACTGACGTCGGTGGATTTCGGTCCTTAACTTGAAGGAATGATCTTTAAAAACGCTGAGCTCAGTTAGCGAGAGGTTTTCCCATTCAGGAATGAATGACTGTCCTCCTCCTTTGCGGACTGTGATATGTTCTGCCAAGGAAATAGTACTTTCAAAAAAACCCCAAACCATTATTCTGCAGGTCCTGACTTAGGGAGTGGTGAGACAGATTTTGTTCCTGTCTCTGCCATGGTGAATAGCGACCAGCTTTGGTTGCCCCTCCAGCAGAGGTAGTTCATATATAGTTCCAATAGATGAAGGAATAGTTTTTATTTGAGATAGATCTTAAGAATAAGATGCTTCTAAGGACAGGGGCAAAACTGTGGAGGCAAAACTCTCTCTCTCAGATTTTCTGCATGCTTTTACTTCCTCTTCTTTCTCCAAGCTGGAGGTACTTCTGTTCCTCTCCTCCTCTGAGCTGGCACTTTCTTCCCTGTGCAAGTCGCTTCCCTTTTACTTTGGTAGCACACCACAAAGCAACTTGCTGAATGTTGCTAAAAAAAAGCCTGTATTCCTGCTATTAGAGCCATTATGTCCTTGGAAATTATGGCCTAGAGGTGCACCTGAAGTTATATTATGAATTTTTTTCAGAACCAGAAAGATAAATTATGGTGTCAGAAAAGGTAGAGATCTCCAGCCAGCAGTGCCATCATCCAGGGCGATGACTTTCAATCAGAAGTCAGGTCATTAGTGTTCAAGATTGATGATTTCAGACTGAAATAGGTAGAGAGGACTACTGGAATCAGCTGGGAAATGATGAGCAGGCTGCATAAGTCAATGTTAGAAGCAGGTCATGGTGACAATTATCCCTGTGAGATCCTGCAGTAGTGTTCTGATAGATGCAGTTTTCAAGACTCTATGATTTGTTTTCCTGTAACAGTGAAGGACTGGCCTCAGGACCTAGTCCTAAGTTCCTCAAGGTCTGGTTAGTGGTTTTGACGTACTCTCTGTTTATATTACATCCCATAGCTTTGCCTGCACTGTTCAAAAAAGAACTTGTCAGTATGGAAGCCACAGAAAACGGGACAGCTCTTCTGCAGTGTGAGCTAACTAAACCCACTCCGGTGGAGTGGAGAAAAGGGCAAAAGGTGCTGAAGCCTAGTGAGAAGTACAAAATGAGACTGAAGGATACCACTGCTGAGCTGACAATCCATAGCCTGGAGGAGCAAGATGCGGGCGATTACACATGCGTGTGCGGAGACAAGATGACTACTGCATCCCTGACAGTGCATGGTAAAATACATAAGTTTAATAGGGGTTTTCTGCTTTGTCATCTGTGATCTTACGCAGGATCACAAACTGTTCTTGATCCCATCTATTATTTTAAATTTTTGTGACAGCTGCATCAACCCCTGGGAGTATCTTTTACTGAAAGTCCTTCGCTTGGGACTGATAAATAGCACCATACAGTCTTTTCTGTCCCTTTTCTTTCATGTTAATGGAATCTGGAAGCAGATAATGAAGACCTCGGTGAAGTCATAAATAGCACTTGCAGTATTTCCATTAATTAATTTCTCTAGGCATATCACTGAGATTTCACTTGTTTTACCTGAATGGAATAGAAAGGTGCTCTGTTATGATAACAACGGAGAAAGGCAGGTGAGAATGATACGTTGCAGCCTGGAACTTTAAATAACATAGTGTTCATTGTAATTGTTCATCTAATCTTAACACAGAGCTGTGCATAGTTCCTTGAAAGCTTGGAATCAGCTTTCTATTGTTATATCTTAAAATGCCTTTAAAGCGTACCTTCCAGTACTGAAATTATAGTTTTACAACACTGATTTCCAATTCAGTTGTGCCATGCTGAATGTGGTGTATTGCAAAGCATAAGGCAGGGATGCCCCTGAAATAATCATTTGCTTCTCAGGTACTGTATATTCTAAAACCTTTAGAGATTAAAGGGTTTTAATCCAGTGGAGCAGTCGAGATGCAGTATTTCCTCAATTTTAAAGTGCTCTCTCTTCACCTGTGATCTTCAGCCCTTCCTCCGCATTTTAAAAAAGAGTTGAAGAGCGTGGAAGCCACAGAAAATGGCACGGCCACTTTCTGCTGCGAGCTGAACAAGCCAGCAGCTGCCGTGGAATGGAGGAAAGGAGAGAGAGCCCTGGAGCCAAACGACAAGTTCTCCATGAGCTGCGAGGGCACAACTGCTGAGCTGGTGATCCGTGATTTAGATCTGACGGATGCGGGAGACTACACATGCTGTTACGGAGATCAGAAAACCACTGCTGCGCTAACAGTGAATGGTAAAAAAGAAAAAAATATCAAACTAAGTGGATTATTTTCAACCAGCTGTTTTTTTAAGAGCATACTAGTATCAGCTTTGAAATTGCAGCCCCGTTTCTGATGAATTTAGCAGCATGTGGCTGGACACGGGCATAAACATGGGGATGCACTGGTCAGTATCAGGCAAAGATCAGGTGTTCGTTGCAAAAATTTCAGATATTCATCATGGTACCAAGTCCTTCCTTTGATGTTCACGTTCAGTAGTAGTTGCTAAAAAAGGAAAATCATATCCTCGTGATGTTGGTTGTAAAGATGTTACAATCCTAAAGTTGAGAATATTAGTTTGGTGATGAGATATTTTTGATAGTTTTCAGTGTGTCAGAATAATTTGACAGTCAAGTTCTGCTAGACGGCTAGCAGAACTCCACTCTGAGGAGAAATCTCATGGAAAAGTGAGATTGATGCCTCAGATATAGTTTCATTTATGAACTTTTTCAGTAACGATTTGCATTGCAATAGAACTTAGACGCTCTAGTTAGTTAGGCTTTATTTTCCATTGTGCCAGGCAATACCCAAAGTAAGGTAGGGCTCAGTCTTGCCGAGTTTGAAGTTGAGACTGGTGTGGTTCTCCATTTCATGCCATAGACCATACTATAAAAAAAGCTCTGACTTATGAACAAGGTGTTCTCCAGCTTTCCAAGGTCACCATCATATGTTTCCCAGAGTGGTTATCAATCCTATTTGATTAGGGAAGGCTTTGATTGTCACGTGTGGTTGACAGATCACAGATAAATGGTTACTTAGATAGCTGCCACGGTCATACATTCTGCTCATTTTGAACTCCTCAGCCTTGCCTGCACACTTCAAGAAAGAGATGAAGAATGAAGAAGCCACAGAAGGTGGAACAGCCACGCTACAATGTGAGCTATCTAGGGCTGCCTCTGTGGAGTGGAAAAAGAAACACAAAGTGCTGAAATTGAGCGAAAAATATACTATGAGACAGGAAGGTACTACAGCCCAACTGCTGATCCATGCTTTAGAAGTCAAGGATGCTGGGGAGTACACCTGTGTGTGTGGAGATCAGAAGACTACTGCGGCACTGACAGTGCATGGTAAAGAAAACAGAAATGAGAATTTTTTGTGTGATGTTTTTCCTGTTTCCTCTGGAGGCCTCAGTACTGACACACAATGAGTTCTTTCTCTAATCTTGCCATCATTAATTCTGTTGGTAACGGATATTCTTTTTTTTATTGTGATTTTTATCTAATTCCAACTAGAACTGTAGTTCCATTGACTATACTAATATTTTCCTTGTGTTCTTCTCCTTGCTCTTGTTGGTGCACAGCTATACTGCTTTGTACCACACTGAAGGCCAAAAGATGCCACATGCTTGTGTCTTTTGTTCTACTTACTTTTGACTTAAGCCTAGAGAGATGGAGCAGCAGGAACATTCATACTTCTTAAAAAGAGCGATCTTAGATTTCAGGTTACATTAGGATTTGACGGGCAATTTTAAATAATGCAAACAAAACTTGATTCAATGCAACTTTTCTATATAACTCTGACCAAAGATGATGTAGATTTGTATTCTGGTATTGCAGAATATTCAGCATTATAGTGTGAGAGTACTTCACAGTCCTCAGACAAATTCATCAGCAAACTTTCCTTGGACGAGAGGGAAACTTTATTTCCATTATTAACATAGGACAGTAGGACGTAGTTTCAGACATCTTTCTCACCTGGAAATTCAGTAGGTCAATGAGTTGATTTCTTTTTACTGCCCAGACTTTTTCATCTTGATATTTACCAATAAAACAAGGACGGCTTCAGTCTTGAACTTCCAATTTAACCATAGAAAACAGAATTGGAAAGGACTTTTATGGGTCATCTAGTCCATCCTTGACCCCCAAGTCACCATCACACCTACCTAGCCTCACTCCAGTGCTGAAGAATTTGCAGTTCCCCTGGACACTCATTCCATTGTGCCTAGCCATCAATACTGCCAGAAAGTTCTTCCTAATTTCAACAAAAGTCTTTCTCGAGCTGGCTTAAGTCATTACTTCTTGTCCCATACCCTGTAGAAATGGAGAAATATTTGCTATTTTCCTCTCTGTGAAAGATTTGAAAACTTATAGCATGTCTCCTTTCTGTCTTCTCTTTTCTGGACTAAGTACCTTCAATGCTTTCACTCTTCCTTCATAGGTCATGTTTTCTAGACTTCAGCTCCTCTTTGTTGCTTTCTGGACCATCTTCAGTTAACCCACATCTTTCTAGAAGTGTGGTGGCCAAAAGCAGACTACAGCGCTCCATCTGAGGCTTTGCCAGACTGGAGTAGCATGGAAGGACTTCATGTGTCTTGCATATGACACTCCATTTTATATATCCCTATTATGATGTTTGCTTTACTCACATCAGAATTGCATTTTTTGACTTGCCTTTGCTCCGTGATCCATGGTAACCCCAAATATCTCTCTGCAGATCTGCTGCCTATTGCTCCCATCTTGTATTTGTGGTGTTGATTGTTCCTAAATATAGTATTTTGCACCTGCTCTTGCTGAATCGCAGCCTATTTTTTTCACGACTGCTTCATCAAGATCTTCTATATCCTAATCCTGTTTAACAAAGTGCTTTTCAGCTTCTCTCCCTTCCCAGCTTGAGATCATCTGCAAAGTTAATGACTACTCTGTGTTTCATAGTCCAAGCCACTAAAGAAAACGCTGAATAATACTGGACTCCAGAGTACTGAGGAACTCTGCTCAGCTCATTCTTTCATTGTGAGTGTAAATCACAGCTGAGTATTCTTTGACTGTGGTTTTCAAACTGGTAGTGCTTCCTACTGTAGTTAAAGTAAGAGCTTTACTAAAATCAGGGTGTACGGCATATACTGCGTCTCTCTCTCTCACTGAAGTTCATTAACCTGTGTCAACAAATATGACACTAGTCCACTCCGTCACGAAAAGAAAAGCTCCTGGCAAGTCCAAGGGTATTGCTACAATGTTTTTCAAAGAACTGAAGTTAAGCTGCAATGGCCGTAGTTCCTTGGACCCTCTCTCTGCCTCCCTCTTCTCCTCCCTTTTTTCCAAGACACAGGCACTGTGGGTGGGATTCAGCTTGTAGATCAAGACAGGTGAGTGTTCCTAAATTCCAATTATTGTCAATGGAGATCTAATCAACACAGCCAATGGAAGCCAGGGAGGCATCCAGTTCACCATATAGCAGACATTTACATTTGGTCGGCACGTAGCTCCACTGGCTCCGTTGACTTTGTCTGGATCTTTCTTAACTGTCGTGGGAGCTTAGACTCTTGGTTTACACGGGGAGAGCTAAATGTGTGCATTTCAATTTGTGAGACCTTTTCCACCTCTGAGTTTCCATTTTTTCAATACTTGTGGAACATCACCCATTCTCTTTGATTTCTCCAGTGTAACTGCTAATTTCTAATATTGGTTTGAGCCTGTACCTTAAATATTCCAGGACAAATTTCATCACACCAAGGTGCTTTGAGAATATTCAGTTTATTTAAATGTTCTCTAATCTGTTTTTCTCTTATCCTAGCCAGAATTCCTATAACTTTCTTAGCTATCATTAACTTTTAATATTAAAGAAGAAAAAGGAATTAAACACTTCACCTTTCCCTGTCTTACCTACCATCAACTTACATTCCTAAAAGTTAGTAGACCAACTTCTCCCTTGTTGTTTTTCTTCCTTTTAACCTACCTACAGAATGTCATTGTATTTTTTCTGCTTCTTTCTAGTTCAGGCTGGCCAGGTTTCCTGGGATTTGCATGCTAATATTCTGATACAGCCAAGAACCACAAGTTGAACTGTGAGCAGAGAACATGGAAAGCTCCTGGAGTAGTGATCTCACCATCCAGTCACTGGATACAACTACATACAGCATTCAGCTGTGTCTGGAGATATTTGACATCAGCATCATTTTGCAGATTGCCTTTCAGCCCCTCTTTCATGTTGGTCTCTTTGTCCGTGAGGTGACAAAGTCCAGGAATGTGGAACTGACCTTGACCTTCTTGAGACGTGCCAGGAAACTGCCCTTTCTGGGTTTTCCTCTACATTCTGTAGTATTTCTTTTGCACTCATGTAAGCCTCCTATATTTTATAGGTCTCTCGAGTTTCAGGACATTGAAGGATTCATGATTTAGGCAGGCTCTTCCTGATGGTCCTTGGAGTGGGGTAGTCTGTGTAATTATGCCCTTCATATTCTTTCTTCAAGAAGATTTCCACTCTCTTAAACTACCTTGTCCTTTAAGTTTGCTTCTGCTTGGTCATATGCAACAATTAATTACTGAACTATTGAAGCTTGCTTTCTTGTCACTCACAGAATTTCTTTTTGCTCTTCTCCATCATTACTTGTCCTAAAATCCATGACCTCCCCTGCTTCGTAATTAGTGTCTGCCCAGTTATCCTCCCCATCTGTATTCTCAAATATTTATTTCTTGCTGGGCAGAGTCAGGACTTGGAGATCCTCCTCTCCTGCTCTTTCATATATAGTCTATATCCAAAAGTGGTCCCCACCCCATTCTAAAGCCTTAGCAGACATTGTCCCATCCTATTGCTCCCACAGTACATATTACCACATTACCATCCAGTCTGGTGCTCTGAATGATTCTATTAGTTGTTCCAAAAGGGATGGGGTGTTGGGATGCACCTGAACCTCCTGGTGTGAAGGTCTTATAGCAGATTTCCACAATGGAGACATCGTCTTTCTTTTTCCTTTTTATCGTTACCCAAGCACTTTCAAGAGGTCTCTCCAATTCTGCTCTTCAGCCTCATTCTAACTCTCAGACTAGGTCTGTAGGCTTCCTTAACACATAAGGTAAAGCCTTTTCTTTTTTTTCTTTAGCTGTTTTTCCTGATGATGGTGTAACCTGCTATATCACTTTTTCCTGGGCTGAATTACACCGAGAAAGTTATAGTTTTGGCCTAACGTGAAGTTTTCCCATTCATGCTATTTTCCATACGCCTCTAACCGAATCAGCAAATTTACCCACTGTTTGAGGCCCTTTTGTGGCTATGATACAAATTAGTATCTTCCTTCTGTGAGATGATCCTCATGTCAATAACTAGGGGTGGAGAGATACCAGTAAACATCAAGGATCATTTTTTTTTTTGGTGGCCAAGAACTGCATATCATGAAAATGTTTGCTCCTTTGTTTCTCAGCCCTTCCTGCTCTCTTCAAAGAAGAGTTAAGAAATGAGGAAGCCACGGAGGGTGAAGTAGTCACTCTGCGCTGTGAGCTGACCAAGACCGCTTCAGTGGAGTGGAAAAAAGGACACACAGTACTCAAACCTAGCGAGAAATACAAAATGAGGCAGAAGGATGTCACTGCAGAACTGGTGATCCATAATCTAAATGAGAATGATGCTGGTGATTATACCTGTGTGTGCGGGGATAAGCAGTCCACAGCTTCCTTAGCAGTACATGGTAATAACCAATTTCACCTAGATGACCTTATTATCAAGCTTATGGTTTGAATTCATTTTTTTCTCCCTGTTCATTGTTATCTCTGCATAGTTCCTCTGAGTCTGACTTTGCATGTCATAGTCATGAGAATTAATTTGCATTTTGTGATTTAAGGGAATAAACCTTCATCCCATTTCCTAATACAAAGTGTTTTTAGGACCTGATGCCTAAAGTAGATGTGAGATCAGGCCCGAAGACAGCTCCCCACTGATGCCCTCGCCTTTCCTTCCCCACCCCTGCCCTTCACCCGGAGGCTGTGTTTGCTGCTCCATTTTAACCCTCTGCCCATTGCATCCTCAGCCCTGCCTGCACGCATCAAGGAAAGCCTGAAGGATGAGGAGGTAACAGAAGGTCAAGCAGCCACCCTGCGCTGTGAGCTGACCAAGATTGCTCAAGTAGAGTGGAGAAAGGGAAGCAGTTTGCTCAAAGTCAGCGACAAATACAAAATGAGACAGGAGGGCATGGTCATGAAGCTGCTTATCCGTGGCGTAGAATTGAAAGATGCTGGAGAATACACTTGTGTGTGTGGAGAACAGGAGACAACAGCTGCCTTGATAGTGCATGGTAAAAAACATATACATATATCTGTATTATTGTGTTTTTTTTCTCTACCAGCTCATTGTTATTGGTTGTGTGTTCACCTATGGCTGAATTTGTTTCTTTAAATTTGTAAGCTGTCTCTAAGATCTGGTTGCATCCAGGCTGCTTTTCTGTTTCTGTCCGTTGGTTTGACCAATATTCCAGAATTATGAGGAAAGGAAACTCTTTCCACCCTAAAATGTTCTCAGCTTCTGTACCACCCGATCCCTCCCATCACCTGTGTGCCACGTGTCATTTTTAATGTCCTCTGTCTGTTTTGTGACCTTCAGCCCTGCCTGCACTTTTCAAAGAAGAACTGAAGGACCTGCAAGCCATGGAAAGCCAAACAGCCACTCTGCGCTGTGCGCTGACCAAGGCTGCAGCTGTGTCATGGAAGAAAGGAAACAAAATACTCAGGGCAAGCGAAAAATACATCATGCGGCAGGATGATGCCCTTGCTGAGCTGGAAATTTGTGATCTAGAGCTGCAGGATGCAGGGGATTACACCTGTGTGTGTGGAGATCAACACACCACGGCTTCTCTGACAGTGAATGGTAAATTAAACTTGCAGATGACTGTTCATTTTTTGTTTCTCTGAAACACCCTGTTGCTGTACGAAGTATCTATCAGCTTTAGGCTTTTTCCTAGGAATTAATTTGTGCTCAGGAAAGGAGAACTTCTTGCTCTGACATTTAATTTTAGGCTGATATTCCTGAAAAGGCAGCTGAGGACATGACTGTTTCTCCATGCAGACAAACTGCTCTGCTGTAAATTTAAAGGAATAGTGCCTAGGAAATGCTCCTGTTAGACAAGCTGAGATGTCCTGCCCCCATGGAGGGTGGCCCTGTGATAAATTCTTTAGGTTGCATCTTGAATCCATACAGCCTTTTGTACTTTGACCTGTCAGCTCCACATTTCTCTTCTTACTGTCGCTGCTGGATTTAGTTTTCCAGATCTCCATAGTGATAACCTCAACTTCAGTGGCTAAAGTCTCTGACTTGGCCAGATTTGAACTTCGGTTGAGAATTCATGATGCTGATCACAAATGCAGAGGTCTTAGTTTAAATACGCTATCTATTGACTTTCCATTCCCAGCCCTGCCAGTGCTTTTCAAGGAAGAACTGAAGAATGAAGAAGTCCTAGAAGGAGCATCAGTCTCTCTGCGTTGTGAATTAACCAAAGCAGCTCCAGTGCAGTGGAAAATAGGGTCCAAAGTGCTCAAAGCAAGTGACAAATATCAAATGAGACAGCCTGGCACCACTGCAGAGCTGATCATTCATGACCTAGAAGTAAAAGACGCTGGAGATTACATGTGTGTTTGTGGTGACCAGAAGACAACAGCAACCTTAACAGTTCATGGTAAAAAGACCTTATTAAAATTAATAAATAGTTCTATAGACAGACATCACTCTGAAATTCAGCTGTTTCTGCCTTGGGTCAGTAGTTTCTTTGTTTTTTCCCCTTTCTCTTCGTTCTATGTATAGCTCATTTCTTACTGAGAAAGACTAGCTCAGGGCAAATTTTTGGGTCATTATTCATCTGCTCCCCTTTAAAAGGAGAAAACGAGATGTTTCTTCCTGTCCAAGTCCCCTCTTCTTGGACATTTACATTTTCCAGCTCTTTTCCCCCCTCATTCCCATGGTTCACTTCAGCCAACCACAGTTCTCTCCAGAACAGACATGTGTATGGTCTGTCAGGCCCTCTGCTCTCCAAGCACTGCTCGAAGGAGAAGTGAGGGTTGGGGGAGCAGAAGGAGGAGGAGATGTTGCTCTTCTGGGTGACCTGGTCACGGCTACTCCTGGGGCTACCAGAGCCTTTAAGCAAGTCGGACACACAGAATGAGTTAAGAGTTACCATTTCAGAGCTTGTTACCTCTAACCTAGGTTTGAAGGATGCAGGGGTCTTACACCTCTGTGTGTGGGGATCAAGAATACCTTGACAGTTAGGCATTAAAAAACCAAACAAACCCCAACAACACAGGTTATCAGCATTTATACTCTTCTTTATCCTATTAGCTCCCAATAAACCAATCCAGAAATAAATCCTTGTGTTACGTTAATAATCTCATTACCTGATGTTCTGCTCTCCTCTCATTAATGAGTATCCGTCTTAATGGAGTAACAGTCCTTGGCTCTGAGAAACTTACTTGGTCAAAGAGACCCAGTTCTGTCCCCTCCAGCTTTTTTCCAAAAACTTCTGACTCCCTTCAGGCTTTCCTGAGACATGGACTTTTTCTGAGGCATTTGGAGAGTACAGTTTGTATTCTGTACCTGCTTACAGTAGTTGTACACAAGGCACATTTGTGGGTAAATGTTAATAATTAGTTTTCCTGAAGGTTATTTCCTATAGGTTGTTCTGTCTTTGGGTTTTGATTTCCAAAATGGGAAATAGTGAGAACTTGAAATTCTTATTACATGTAATGGCCCTTCAAACTTCAATTTAAAACTAGAAGTAGTTTTATTTTGAAATCTGGCTGATTTCATGTAGTTGGGGCTATAATTTTTTTAGTAAAAACAAAACAGCAAATAACAATACCAGCCTGCAAGAAATCACACCTGTGTAGGTAAAATAGTACTGTATCCAGCAGTGTTATTTGTGAGTGCTGTTGACCCAAGATCTGGATCTTTATGTATTGTTCTTTCACCATGAAAAGCAACAGACACGCAGTGAACTGATCCCTTATGGTATGTGAAACCACGTCACACTTGAAGAAGGATGCCTTCAGAGTTTCTGAACTTGGCTATAGCTAAGCATGTTTATAATAGGCTGAAAAAGGGAGGCATGAGGGGAAATAATCCCAAGCATGAAAAAGAAATTAGGATTTTGATTCTGGTTTTCTGATGACCATTTATCCATGTTGCATCCTTCAGCTCTGCCACCG